TTTTAGGTTAAGACATTAGAAGCACGAATTGATTCATCTATTTGCACGGAAACATGTACATGAATAAGAAAGGGTCTAATCTGTACAATGTACTGAAAATGACGGGGAGGGACATGATTCCTCTTTCATTTTTCTTAAAACTGACTATACCTAGTTACCGGTCGTGCCGTAGTTTACGTCACCTGTAAATTTCGAAGTGAAAATTCTTATAATATTTACATAGAGCCTTAAGATATATCTTCCTCTTCCATAGTTTTTCCAAACAGAGGTTGCTGTTACCATGTTGTTAAGAGTGATAATAATGAATAATAGTGGCTTCTTGGATAACGCACATGTTTATAATTCAGTGATGCACCAGCCTTTCAAACATCAGGGTGGAGAGTGGCAAATGTGGATAAATATCTTAATATTAGGACGTTTTATCCCGGAAAAGTATTTAAAAGTTCAAAAGTTTAATGGAGAGTCAAGTAAATGAACCCCTTTACCATGGCATCTCCACACACACTCTAAAAAAAAGATACCCAATATTGGGTAAAATTTTACACTTTACGAGGGTAAAAAGGGAACATGCATGTTTGTTGGGTAAAATTTGACACAGGGGCGGTTGGGTAAAAATTTACCCAGCAAATGTTTAATGTTTTACCCAACTGATGTGCAATATATTTGACCCAATGTAAAAGGTAAAATGTTACCCAACGACAACCATGTTCCCTTTTTGACACAACATTGGGTAATTTTTACCCAACTCATCCTGGGTACTCGTTTACTTTGTTCTTGTGTAATTTTTTACCCCAAAGTTGGGTAAAATTTTAACCCAACCTTATTGTATGATTTTTTATTTTTACACAGATTTGGGTAAAAAAGAAAATTTGTCCGAAGAGTTGGCTGGAAAAGTACATGCTATATGTAGTGTAGTGTATAAGTAGCAGACCTCTCTCTCTCTCTTGGCTAGACAGTCTTTCGCTTGGCGTGCTCGCAGTAGGTCACTGCATCGCGGATGACATTCTCCATACGAATAATGTGTTGTCCAGAATTATGAGGAATTTCATGTCCATATTGAGAAGATTTACACGCATTCATGCAAATAAATGCTGCGGAAAGACACAAGTACATGATCGTAGTCTATTTCGAACAAAGTCGTCCATCCTCTGTCGATCTTGAACACGATTAATTCGATGAACAGCTAATTCGGAACGACCGACCACGCTAGCGCTTCAATCATAGTTTTTTAACATCAGTTGTGTCATAATACCAACGATTAGGTGTCAAAACTTGTGTTTACCCAACGCGTGGTTCAAATATTAATCTGCATCGTTACTTTCTTACCCCGGAAATGCGCGCAGTCGAATTTTGATATGACACTATGGCAAGTGTAATGAAATTTCGAAGGGACTTGGTGTTTGGCACAAGGTTGGGTAATACTTTACCCAACTTTTTTAAACAGCGATTTTGCACAGCAAAATTTTGCACTCTATTTTTAGAGTGCACAGACGTATCGAACGAGAAACTACTGTAAACTTTAGCAGAGAAAGAATGGGTTTTCACTTCATCCATGGTATTGTATTCTGTACGATGTTTTTAGTTTTTAAAGCAAATGTTTTTTCTAACCATTTATTCGATCATATGTTTTGTATCTCAAAGGAAAGTGTGATACAGCCGATACTAGACGTTACACTGATCTCACCTGCTTTCGTACAAGTGATACACAGAGGACGTGGGAAGACTCATTTGACTTCTGCTATGATAACGGGGAGCTACTTGTCACAGTAAATGATGTTGAAATGCAGAACTTTATTGCCCAATTTATTCAAGAAGACCCGAATGATAATGTCTGGATCGGTGCAAGGGAAGGTGTAGATTGGAAATGGAGAGACAGTAAGTTCTTTGTAGTAAGCACATTCAATATTCAATCCAGTCGTAATGGGTTCATGGTACGTTTGCATTATACATACAAACGGGAAAAAAAACATGTCATCAATCCACAAACAATTTCGGGATGTTCGCATTTTAGAACTTTATAACCTTTTTCATTTTCAAAGAAATGGACAGTTAACAGTTGATATTCAGTTTAGCAACTTCAGTACCTTTGACATGTTTTTGGAAATTGTGTTTGTGAAAAACCTATGCATGATACACGTATATGACACAATCTTGTACACCAAGAGTAAAATAGCGGATAATTATGCAAAGTCATTTTATACCTGATTATTTAACCCTTACGATGGGAATTAAGAAAAGATGGTTTTCTAACCATTTCATAAGAGATCTGACAGTGTTTATCAATATTTATTAATCAGGTGACACATACATCGATCGCTTCTTTTGGGAGATAGCATACCCTGGTTCAAGCTCGGGAGATTGCATCGAGTTATCATATCAGAGTAATTCAGGTGAATTCGCATGGACTCCTAGGTCACCTGGAGACGAGATTGGTGTGCTATGCCAATATGGTGAGTATAAGCAACTTTGGCTCTTACTAGAACTAATCACTTTTGTTAATGACCTCCGTTCTCGCGGCATGAAATTTACTTTCACGAATATCGGCACTCAAGTTATTGTGATTCATTACTTCAGTACAGGAGGAAGCTTCGGAGAATCCTAACCTCCCGCAAATTTGGAAATTGTCTTGTTTCGTATTGATTTTCTTACAATTTGTTAATATCCCGGAGATTTGCAAGGAGATGAGCGGACGAGAGGGTACGGCGTTACTTAATTATCCATTGTTACAGTATACAATATGATATTAATACGAGATTTGATTTAACTATAAAGATATTCCAATTTAGAGTGTTTGGAATAGTAAACAAAATTAGACATTTGTGGATACATTACTAGATTGTATACAATGACCCGATGATATTTTCCAATCAAAAGATGTTAAAAAAAAAACTGTTATGAAACTTTAAATTTCTGTACTGTGTATGTCATAACAGCATAACAGTTCCAATCCTGGCCGAAATTAAAGTTGATTAAAGGCAGATATATCCTAAGGACGCTGATGATAAATTGGCAACTCTTTTATGTGTTTGATCAACTTATTGTTTTCACGATTTATTGTTTGTTGAAGTCTTCTTTTTTGTAAGAAAGTTCATGCATCTGTCGAGTTATGTGTGTGCAATCTTTAGATCGGTCTTGTCAGAGTGTTGGTCTTAACCAATCCGACATGGTACTAGAATACATGGACACCTGTTTCCAATTCCTGGATGTTTCGAAGAGCTGTGATGATGGGGCCAGAGAGTGTAATGGGAGAGGAGGATTTCTGGGTGAAATACTCGATGAGAGCACTAATGCTTTATTGCTGGACCGAGCTCTGTATCTGAGAAACCTAGGCGTAAACACGGCCTGGTGGATCGGTGGTTATGACGAAAATTCCGGACGGTCCTGGTATTGGTCTGATAGTAAGTCATGATGAACAAATTATATCCTCATACTATGATAGTCAAATTTTAAGCAGTATAGAGTACCAAGCAAACGCGTCTTTCTTCAATGACATAATATGGGGTTCACCAGTATCACTATAAGCTTGTGAACGGAACATTAGTTTATTTTCAATGTTTACTTTCTATTAAAGGCTAAGTCCACTCCAGCAATGTTTTGTTTTTTAGATGCAGAAAAACAGAGCAAAAACAAAATAGAGTAAAATCGGATAATTAATAAGGAAGTTATGATTTTGTTTACAAAGTATGAAAAACTATGGAACTTAGAAAATCACGACACGTGCCAATTTGGTTACAGTTTGTGACGTCATTGCCTCACTATTTATCAATTGCTTTATATACTTTTATCCCATTAATTTCCCATTTTATCTCCATGAAATTAATTTCCCATATCTTTGCCCAGGTTATATGATTTGTATCATACTGCGTGCATGACATTTCACAAAATCTTTTAAGAACTTTGAAGAATTGGCACTTTTTTCTGAATATTGTATATTCATAATCATTGATTTTTGTATAAATAATTTATCTAAATTCATATTTTTCAGGATTTATCTGGAAAAAATACTATATTATTGCTTCCACACAAACACAAATTACTATCAATATAACTTGGATCCTGGTGTGAAGAAATAAGATTTGTTAGGGGGAAAATTGGGAATTTATGTTATCGATATAAAGAAAACAACTAGTGGATAGTGAGGCAATGACGTCACAGACTCATGCATAGTTGCCAATTTGTCTTGTGATTTTAAAGGTTTTTCATGTCAATAAAAATTCATAACTTTCTTATTAGTTATCCGATTTGCTCAAACTTTTGTTGATTGGTTTGTCTGATTGATCTGCTTCTATTGAAAGTAAATTATTTTCGAAGTAGATTTGCCTTTTAAGCACACACATCGATGATAAATTTAAAAACTAGATTGATACTGGAAGCCCGACTGCTGAGAACACAGCATTCTTCCAGAATCTCGGGTAAAGGTAAAGGTAAAGATACCGGTTTTATCTCTTTATATTTCTCCTTTTTTTTCTCTCCAGAAAGCAATAATTATAACTACTTTTCAAATTCCACAGTATAACAAACAAAATTAGTAAGAAATTTGCTTGGGATATTATCAAGAAATGATAATCGCAAAACATGCGATATGATAATTACATATATTATATATATATATATATATATGAGAATATTTTGAAATTAAAACAGCAATTTCTCTTAATTGAATTTTCTTATAGAAATCTTGAAATTTGAACCAGAATAATGAATTTTAAGTGAACTGTAAACGTTCTAAAGTGAAGTACCCTTGAATACAATAGTGATCCAAGTCTATACAATCGTCATTTTTAGTTTAATTTCTTTTCAGGACTACACACCCTCAAGAAAGATTACCGAAAGTCCTTTTCAGGACTCCACAATCCTCCCTCTCTCTCACATGGTGCACCCGCAAGCCTACTGTATATGAATTGACTTGTTGCTGATTAATATCATATTTTTTTACATGTATAATATATTCTTCTGCTTTGCCGTCTTCAGAAACTCGAGTCATCTATGAGTCATGGCGCGCGGACAGACCTAATAACAACGATCGTCACTGTGTAGAAATGAGAGAGTTTAATAACTACATGTGGGATGATTCGTCTTGTACTGCTACAAAACGGACGTTATGTCAAATAGGTTAGTACATATAGATAACAAACCGTGTATAATTATAACTAGCAATTTTGTCACCATGGTTATATCAATATGCATGCGCACTAATTGTGCATAACATGATGGAAGTCCTTTTTAAACATGTAATCAATTATTATTTAGGGACTGTAAACTAAATTTCACTTTAAACTAAAAAAATGCAAGTTGTGATAACAAACATTCAAGGTGTTCGAAAAGAAAATCTGTAATATTTGCATTTATGAAGCGCACTTTCAGGCAAGCAGTGCAGACAAGCATTGAATCCAACGACCGGGGTAATGGTATATATGTTGAGTGCTTAGAGACATCGTAAATGTATTAGCGCTATATATATACAAGCGGAATATTATTATTATTATAACAATAATAATTATTATTAGGTGATACGTACGTAGACGTATCACCTTTTGATTTCGTCAAGATTTTCTTTATTATTTTTATTATTCTGCCATGAATTTGTTCGCAGGATATCTCAAGAATGAAAAAAGCCATAATCATGAATCTTTCAATGATGATAGATCTTAGTCTAACTTAGAACTGTGTGACTTTTCAAAGACTCAAAGTCATCGTGACGTCATCCAGGCGCCATTTTGTGAAAATCAACTCATGATCATATCTTCATAACAGAAAGCCATTTCTCATTCATATTTATCACGATCAAGGTCAATATCTGTCCCGTCAATTTCAGGTCAATAAATGCGTTCAAAAATGCGCGTACGCGTACGTGCGCGCGTTAATGCGCGCGTAAAATTTTATATTGCTCAAAATCGTCTTAAATTTTTTTTGCATACGTTTCAGGCCATTATAAGCATTCATAAAAAATCGCGCAAAACACGCATTTTTGCGCGTTTTCGTTCGTCACGGCCGAACGAAAAATAATTCCTATGCAAAAACTTCTGACAGGATATTCCTCATAATTTTCCGAACAATTTGATACCAAGTTTATCTCTTTATCACTATTAATAACGGAATGAGCGTCCGTTCAAGATAACCGTCCGCACTCGCGATTTTTGTAATACATAGCATATACGGGCAAAAACATGCCTATAAAAAGTCCATTGGGATGAATAAGGATTGCCAATTTTTTTTTCATATTTAGATAGAGTATGAGTCGAAGGTATGATTTCATATCTCATTTGGCCATTAAGTACATCTTGACGTCATCATAATGGCCTTGGAAGTCAAAAATACAAAAATGCATATTATGACGTCATTATGTTTATGGGAAATTTAGTGTATTTCTCTTAATATTCATCGATTCTCTTCTAGATTTTAATATGTTGTAGTCGAGGCAATCGTCTTTGAGATCAGTTTACACCAATTTTCATTTAATTGATGTCATCATAGTACAAAATTCAATTAAAGGCCACATGTCAGAATTTTCTTAATTTGCGTGTTATGTCTATGGAAGGTGAATTTTGTTCACATCATGAATATTCATGACATTGATCTTTGAGCACTATCTAGCTTATGAGTACTCTATGTTCTCCCAAATTTTGATACGGTGTAGCTAATAAATTATCTTCAATATTGACGTACATCATTTATCATTTTGATGACATCATCTTAGTGAAAATTTCAATTAAAGGCGACATGTCAGAATTTTCTTAGTTAGCGTGTTAGGCGACTTTTTCTGAAATCCTGATTCTACAAATCTCTATCGAATACCTGAAGTAGGCGCTATACCACTCTTAATCATGGTCTTTATCGTATTTATGATCATTATCATTAGATCATCATCGGCACAATTTCATGATAACAAAATAGCACGTATCACCTAATTCGTCAAAGTGACGAATTAAAGTCTAGTTATGATTATTATTCTAACGTATCTTAGCTTTTCTTACCAATAACTTTTTTGCATTATTAAATATGATTATAATTTCTAGGTAGGGGGAGGTCAGTTTTTACGTGCAGAAGGCCACAATCTGCTGACACCAGCTTTGGTGGAAATACCATTAATGGGTGTATAATGCAAACATTATATAAGGCCTGTTTAACATAAAACTGGAGGCTAACTCTGGTGATTGACAACACTTGTTATTTGGTAAGCACCCGAAAGGTGTCGAATTCCCCATGAGAGCAAACACCTTTATGCGTCTATAACGTCCCTAAATACCTCAGGTAACGCCTAACTGGCTCTGATGATCCAATTTTTGTTCGCTCTATTATCGGGTTGGTGTTTGTCTCGTTAGTGGGACTGCGAAATAAATGGAATCTAATTCTATTGGCATTGTTTATCTAACGTTTTCCTTTGTCAAAATGAGAGCACGATTAGACAGGATTTTAAAAATATATATACAATATATTCCATATGTTTTCAGGAATTCCTGCCTGCGGTGACCCAGGTGAACCTTTGCATGGCTATCGTTTACCAGACGATAGAACAACTTACTCTGTCAATGCTACTCTTCATTTCACCTGTCAGGAGGGCTATACATTATCAGGAGAAAGTGTTTTAAGTTGTATGAATAGTGGAGCATGGAATCATCAAAGACCATCGTGTGAATGTAAAGTGATTGTTATGATGATAAATAAGAAATGATATTTGAATCTTATTTACCCACAGAGAAGCCCCATCAGCATTAATACTGCCCTTTTTCACGTTCATGTAGCTTCTCGAATAATTATTATCCCTGCAATTGCTAAGAGCCTATTTACACGTGGCTGGATACTGGAAAATATTTAAAAAACTTATGCCGGGTTGAGATCCGAACCCTCAACGAATTAAATGAGAGTCAAGTGAATGAACTACGTTACTTTACCATATTTCGTTCTTCAAAACGTAATTAAGGTCCGTTTAAACGTTTGCAGAAGATATCACGTATTTCATAAACATTCTTTAAATGTAGTCATGCTTCGAGACAGAGCTTTAAATGCTAGCATTGTGACAGCTATCAAACTTAAGTAATATGCGGCTGAAAATTTGTTTAATACCGAAATCATGAAGCGAGGCGTCGTAGAAACTTCCTAAATTATTACCGTCAATAGAATTGTTATTCATGAAGGATTACAATAAGGTATTCTCTTCTCAGAGCTAGAGATAAATAAACCAAATCAAGACAAACATAGCATCACTACGAACAATTACAGTATTAAAGGTATTCTCATCTCAGAACTAGTAATAAATAAACAACATTAAGATTTTCAATAAGTACCAACACTATGTTTTGATGTCAAGAGAAAGATAGCATCACTTCTTGAACTATGAATAATGGCATGATATTCATCTAGTCTTTCCTGTTTTCCTGAATAGCTGTCGAGTGTGAGGGAAGCCCACCAGAGGTCGCCCTTGCATCCACCATGATACTAGGATCAGCGTATCAAGATATAGCTCTATACACCTGTCAAGATGGTTATATTCCTGATAATGAACCAATCAGCTTCTGTCAGCATTCAGGCACATGGAGTACCCCTAAATTTACTTGTTCAGGTAAGATGATATTTATTTATTTAATTGTAAATTTATTTATTTATTATTCACTCATTTATTAGTTCATTTTGTTATATTTATTCATTTAATTATTCTGAGTTCTGTATACGGTAGTCACAGTAGACCATTCACAACATCTAAAATACTTTGTAAGAGAGCCCTGTGTGTACGGCAGGTAGATTGTTTTGTTGATTTATTTAACATGACTGCTAAGATAGCATACGTCTGCTTGTAAGTAAGGAAAAGGTGACCAACGTCTTTTAGTCCTCTCCAAGAGAGATGGTATTTACCTAATAATACTAATATTGTTTTCTATTCCCAGCACTCAGCCCGTGCTCCAGTAACCCCTGTTTTAATGGAGGGACCTGCACCGTGAATGGATCAGCGTTCACATGTACATGTCCTTCAAGTTACACTGGTCCAACGTGTGAAGAAGGTAAGATATAGTTAATTTGTATACATTGATATATATTTACGGCGATTGCAAACACTGTCGAAAATACCATTTCAATACCCTATTTTATACCCTTTATTAAACCACGCTTAATTACTTAATACTTCTCTGTTATATTCGCACAGTATAAAAGGGAATGGACAAATCTTTTGAAACTGGTAAATGTTGATTTTATTTCGAAGGTCTTTGCGATCGTGTTAAAGATATTCCAGTATCTAGCTTCAACGGATAATTTTCAAGACCCCCATTGTAGCCTACTCAAACTTACCCCAAGTTATACGAGAAAGATACATCCCCCAAAACGCATTCATCTTAATGAAACAGGAACTAGAGTCTACGAAGAATATCTCTTTTCTTTGTAATTTCACTTTCTACTTTATAGATGTGAGGTTCCGAAAAGAAACGTGATCACTAGAGATGCAAACAAGTTTGCCGTTTCAACTCATGTAATTGTGCTGTATAGTTTAATGTTATTTGTATTTTCTAATAAAATCCATGATAATTCTTTTTTTTTACTGATTCTGTGCAACGTAATAATGTTTTTCTTCCCAGAGTTCAGCCCGTGTAACAGCAGCCCCTGTATGAATGGAGGTACTTGCTCAGACGTAGATGAATCGTCATTCAGCTGTACATGTACACCAGGCTACATTGATCCAACGTGCAATGAAGGTAAGGCATTGATTGACTGCTTGGTTTACCAACAACAATACCAACATGTGTACAAAATGTGTCATAACAATACCGGATGGAAACACACAAATGTATACTTAAATTCAAGTCTTTTTTTTTCCAGGGTATCCATTACTAATAGGCCTGCTATTCTTAATGCGGGCCCCGACATTCTTAATACCAAGCTATTTGCAGGTACCCATATATTTCTGGGTGGACGGAAGCAAATGTGGTTTAATGTCTTGCCAAAGGACGTTAGTGTAGGGTTGGGATTCGAACCCTCCACCATTGGGGGTTGAGAGTCAAGTGGATGAACCGCTCTGCCACGACACCTATGATTTGATAAAAGCTTGTCAGAGGGACAACAAAATAACATATGTGACGATCCATATTTTTCCAGGGATCAAGCCCATCAGAGATGTACCCAGAACGTTTTTATCTCAGGGGTTAAAGCTTCAAAGATCGAAGGGTTACGCCGGTTTCACCTAAGGCTATTTATTATCATATATATTATCATTCTTCAGAATTTGTAACCTTGGCACTGGAGGTAAAATGCGTGTGCCATAAAGCATCTGCATGTTTAATTCATTTTGGCGGTATTTAAAGATTAAAAAGAGAGGCATGCACCGAGTCCACCCTATTTTTACTAAACCTCTGTACTTCGCTCAATTTTGTTAATGAAATTACATTTTTCATATTTCTTCTAGGGTTTTTCTTGCCACAATGCAAGCACCACAACTACATTTTACTTTAATAGCATCATGCAGTTGGCATCAAAAAAATTGTCTTCAAATAAAATTATTTTAAATTTTCAAAGCAAATAATAATATATCCTAAGTACGCAACACAAAATAATGAATGTGATGGCAATACGCAGTACACAGTATTAAAAATTAAAAATAACACAGTAAGCGTTATAACATGTTTCAATTCAATTTTACAACTCGCCATTTATCATTAAATAAAACGAATTTGTCTCGTTTTGGATAGATTATTCGTTCAAGGTTAAAATAATATTCCGATTGTTTCTTAAATAATGCAAAATATAATGTACTATGTTTACATTTTGTAGAGAATATAATAGTATTTCGTGTTTAAAATAACAAAATTCAAGTGACAGAAATTGCCCCCAGAAGTTCCAAATATAAAGGTATTCATGGTCAATATAATTTTATTATATCAAGAGTTTTCTCAAATTGTAATGTAAATTGGACATTCCCAGTAAAAATGTGCGATTATTCCAACACTATTTAAAAAAAATATATATTGATCAGAATGTATTATACCTACCAATTTCAAATATTGATTTACCCCTAGAGTATTATGTAATAATTAAAACAATTTTGTTGATAGAGCATATTTAAAGGGATAAACTTACCATTTTTTCCAATCCAAAATCGGTTCCAATAAAATTGAGTTCCACTTTCTTTGGTAAATTGTAACTGGAATTATTTAATCAATGCATAATTTAGGAATTACTTTAGATATTTTAGTTTTCTTTTTCATCGTACCAATTAAACGTTAATACTGGTTCATACATTTTCATTGTAAATAAATGTTGGATATAACAGAATACAACTCCATCAAATTACATCAAATATGGTATTTTTGCACAAATGGTCAAATAAATCATAACTAAAAAAGACCCATATTTTTCAACACCCTTCATTATGATCTACCTAAATTGTTTACCGATTTATCTTGTCTGGTTTACGATTCCTTTCAGAGATAATGCTTACGACGCCAATCACCTTTACTACGCAAGCTACTCCGCAAAGCACAGAATCACAAACAGGTTTGACATTTTTTTCTAAATAAATGTAATGCTTCCTGGGAGAATTTAAATAGTTTGAACATATTTGCGGCTTACACCCAGGTTCAAATCCCGCTGGTTCCAAGATTTTTTCTGACTTTTTCTTCAATTACAGATCGATCAATCGATCTTATAAACTGGGTGTAAGCCACAAATATGTTCAAACTAGGTTTGACATTGTATCGAGATATTAATTTGGTTTAAACACGACCCCAAGACTTTCAAAATGGTTTATTTCGAGTCATCGGGTCTTTATTTATTTTGTAACCATCATCTGTGATGCTACCTTGGTATTTCTAATTTATGTCATTCTTTTCACTACCATCCTAGTTCCCACAACAACCTCTTCACCTACTGTTTCTTCTCCAACAGAATCAAATTCCGCTGGAGGTTCTTCAAGTTCCATAGCAACTGTCATAGGAAGCGTTGTTGGTGCTATTCTTGGGATTGTTATCATTATAGTTCTCATCATCATCTTTTACAAGCGAAGAAGGTTAGAAAGTTACCTCGTTCTAATATTAACCCGTCCTTCTCATCAGTCCATTATCACCATATTCTTCCACGCGAGGGGCTTAAACCGTAAGGTTATGAAAATACAAGCTGAATTAAGAATGTACTTTATACACAAACAAATATTAAGTTATTTAATTCCTTTTGTTGTAATGTTGTCCAATGTAAATATTTCAAAGCATAACGCTTTTCAAATGTAATGGCTTCCTGTTTAAAATACTTATTATGTAAATTACATGTTTTTCAAAGTACCCTACTAATACCCACATCTCATGTTGATATGTTTCTATATACCTATTTACCGGGAGGTGATGATATTTCAGATCATGTATTTTATTTATGCAATTTATCTATGCTTTTATAATGTAATCTTTCAGCAATGAATCAGCCACTACTAAGTCTAAAGGGAAGGAGTCCGATTCGTCTCCGCAGTATGAGAACCCTGTATTTGATCAGTCACAGACAGACGCCCATACCTACCAAGACCTGAATACTATCACCCATACCTACCAAGATTGTAATACCGATGTTCGGAGCTACGATGATAATGTCGACCCTCATACCTACCAAGAAGCTAACTACGAAGAAGTGAATGATGCCAAAGAGAAAAATTATGTCAACGATACTATGATAAAACAAAATAAAGTGTTATTGGGCTGATTAAGAATTGAATACATGAGAAGAAGATAGATCCAAGTCCATCATAATAATTTTGATTTTAAAAAAAAAGGTTGTTTATAAATTTGAGAGACAAAATATTTTCAGTCTTAATTCATTGCATAATATATGTCCATGTATCAATTATTCCGTGAAGATGAAACCATGTTTAAAAATTATAATGAAATATTAACATTTATCTTAAAAACTGGAGAGAAAATATCTATGCTGATGCACTTGGGCGCTTCCTCTCGTGTATCCAAATAGAATACAAATATCCTCTTCATTGAAATTTGTTTCCTATTGTTATTTTCTGAATAATGTAATTGATGCATAAGGAAGAAAAGTTATCAAAAAATATCATGACTTCTTTTCATCCTGTGCTCCTCCTTCGTTTTCACAATGTCTACTCGTGTTATTCCCAGAAACCTTGATATCGACGATCAGTAGAAAGATTCTCTGTAAAATACCATGTTGGCAGTAGTCTGATACATTTGGGTAAATAAGTTGAAGACCTTAGGTCCCATCAAAACGTGAAAGTCAGGGTACGGGACTAGTTTCTTTAAATGGATTCATGTATACTGATCTTCCGTCATTGCAGTACCGTCATTTTTTTAATAATGTGATTGATGTATAACAAAAACTCTTACATCATGGAGCAACAAAACATGATTTTATTTCGAAAACTGAATTCATTTTTCTATCTGCAGAGGTATCTAATGAAACCGATTTTAGAAATATAAGATATGTTTGGAATGATTCGATGCAGGTACAAATACAAAGGACAATTTATTTAGTCATCTGTATACACGTATGCCATAAAGTACGAAAGCATATTTCATCATGTTAATAGTGTTTTGAGATATCGGTAAGAACGCTTTTATATTATACTGTTCCTTTTTATATGTATTGATTGCTATCTTTAACGCCTGTTATTGCTGGTGGAAAACATTTTTTGACATCATGTAAAAGAATGAATATACCATCAAATATTTGTATTATTAGCATAATTATTGTTCATATTATTACTATTATTGTTATTATTATTACTACAACTACTATTACTACTATTACTAATACTACTACTTCTACTAAGCAGTGGAATTCAAGTTAATTAATAAGTTGTTATGGTGTAAACGCTGAATTTAAATATAAAAATGTAAAAGACATAGACTATGCACAATGAAACCAACGTGAAAGCATTGTGTTATGTCAGGATGGATGTTTAGGTAAAAATGTAAATACATGTATATAGTAGAATTAAAAGGCAAGTAGTAGAATTAGACGATGCAATCCAAATCAGCATTAGTATATTACCATATGAGTAGAGGATGTTTGAGCACAAATACATGTGAATAGTTATAGCAAGAATCATAGAACACACCATAAGCAAACATCAAGGAATATTAACAATAAAGAATACAAAATGAAAAACTGACTCATTTTAGTTTTCAGTAAACTCGTAAATTTGCTCTTGAATGTTTTTTTAACCAAACTAATTCGTGTGATTTCTTAAGCAGATTGGAATTTGGCAGACAGCGCTAACCAACAGTATCAAGCCATATTTCTGTAAAAAAATAATTGTAGGAAAATTTAACCCTAAACATTCGTCCCCAGCCAATGACCAGTAGGACAATAACCCCCCCCCCCCCGAAAAATTACCCCAGAGGACAATTACCTCCTGGTAAATTACCCAGGATACCCCCCCCCCCCCCGTGAACGACCCCACCCCCAAGCACATAGGCCTATTCCCCCTCCCCCTTAAAATTACACCCGTGGATAATCACCTCTCACCCCCCCCCCCCCCCACCCCCACAAAGAAAAATGCCAATATCGAAATCAACTTATTTTCAAGGTGGACTTCCCCTTCAATGAACAGGGGGTAATTTTCGGGCGGTGGGTAATTGTTATTGGGGTGGTTGTCCTTGGTTGTCCTTGGCAGGGGAATTGTCCTAGTAGTAATTGTTCCCTGGGGAGGGGGTCATTGCCCCCGAGGATGGTTGGGCCCGGGAAGGGGATTTCAGCCCCGTCCCTCCCCATGCACACATTAAACACAAATAGCCTACATGTTATTCTGCTCGTCGAGATCTCATCGGCTCTGACTACATTGGACTACATCTGCGCAGTCTCTATAACAGGTCAACATCTACCACTGATTATCTAGTTATGAACTGAATTTTAAAAGTATGAGATGTGCATAATCTACGGTAAACTTCTGATTTTCTCTAAAACTATGACCGCCGACGACTTGGATTAGAGCAATTAATATTGAAAATCAGAGGTGAAATTACATTGCAAGCATCTGAAAGCGCCATTTGACGCGTATAATCAGTTCGGTGGAAAAAGCCTTATTATCGGGGCCTTATAATATAAACATGGCAAATTTTCAAAAGATTTCCAAATATTAAAAAAAAAGATAACTCCCTGCAGTAGCGTACGCAGGATTTTTTCAAGGGGGGGGGGGTTAACATGTTTAAATCGGGCCGAAATTTTCGCAACGACTCATGAAAAACTGGGGGGGGGGTGAAGATGATATATTTTTTTTTGTTTTTTGTATGGGGGTGGGGGGGGGGGTCCCAAAAATTTTGCAACGACTCGGCCAGCCGCTGAATAAGCGGGGGGGGGGGGTAAGAGGATATCTTTTTTTTTGGGGGGGGGGGGTCCCGAAAATATGCCGGAACGACCTTTCATTCCGTTGCGTTGAGGGGGAGGGGGGGGGGGGTAAGGTCACCTTTTTTAGGTCACCATTACCATAATTTTTGTTATTTTTTTTAATTTAATTATTTTAAAAAAATATTTAAAACAAGGGGGGGGGGGTTCTCAAAAATACATACATAAAAACCCAAAAGGGGGCCCCCTGCGTACGCGCCTGACTCCCTGCAAATGCGAGAAAGATCACAGCTGGAGGATTTCTTGTCCTTTTTAGCCATGAAATGTGATGGCGCTGTTGGTCTTGGGAAAGAGGGCTCCGTGAAACGGGTGAAACACGTACGGTAGTACGTAGCGGACGAAGTAGCTCACCCCACTTACACTGCACTGGTTTACGGTACCGTACCGGTACGGTTTCGAAAAACTGGTCGTGGTTGTTGTTGATCATTGCGTTGTTGATCAGCTGTTCCAAACTTCTGTCCGGAGGTCGGTGGATCGTGGACGATGGTGATGGCAATCAATTTAAGGTAGGTCTATTAATTTATAGACTAATCCAGGCCAGGTTCATCGTGTAAAATGCAGTTTGTATGTGATGAGTGGTTGTCTGTTTGTTGGTTTTAGATGTTATGTAAGGTTGGAATACACCAGTTTACAGTTGTATCAGTGCGCATGCGCAGACAGTTGACCTCGGGTCATTGGCCCCGGAAGCGGGGTCACTGGCCCCGGAAGTGGGGCCAATAACTATGACCAGTGGTATTTATGCGTAAATTAAGATTGCGCCCATGCAAATGATGATATGCGCGCACAACGCAGCGCGCAGGCAGTGATATCATCATAATTTGCATGGGCGCAATCTTAATTTACGCATAAATACATGACCTCTAGGTCATTGGCCTTGTTTAAAATGGCGCACACAACTGTAAACTGGTGTATTGTTTAAAGCAGCTAGTGATTCACATTAAAGTTTTGTATTGTGTCCCACGTGCTTATTTTGATGTAGGTCTAGATCTAGTCAAGTTCGATTCATAGACTATAGATCTTTAGGGAATTTAATCACCTAAATAAAAGAAATAGAAATAGATTTCTTTCCTACCTTGTCTCGTAGAAACACCTGTTGAGTACAGATACTTGGAACATAGACCTATATTATATCACAAGTAGTAGTTCAAATATTGCACAGCACCCGTAGAAAGAATAGATCTATGTAAGACCTAGACCGAAAGCTTCAGTCTCTATAATCGTCGGTTGTTCCACTGAGACTACGTCTGGCTCCACTAGACCTCCGGTTATAGAGACAGAACGATCGCCTATGCCAGCCTGTGTTGAACTTATTCCGCTAGATTTTAGCCGCTAGGCCCCTCCCACAAACTTGCCACGGCCGTATTGTTATGCCCCCAAAATCCCCCAAAATGTCATTTTACCTCGTTCATTTCCAATTTTAAATTAGGCCTAGGCTATAATACATCGGTTCCACTTACTAACTTTATTGATATAATCCGTTTAATGGTCCCTTTTAAGGAAATTATGGGTCAAAATCGACATCCATGTTGAAAATCTTGCAAGCCGTGTTAAACTCTCGCTGCCGTCAATCTCATCCCTTCTAGTCTACGCCGAAGGCAAAATGATTATGAAGGAAAAACTGTGATAACGCCATTACGAACATGTAGATGGCGCAGTTTTTCCTTCATAATCATTTTGCCTTCGGCGTAGACTAGAAGGGATGAGATTGACGGCAGCGAGAGTTTAACACGGCTTGCAAGATTTTCAACATGGATGTCGATTTTGACCCATAATTTCCTTAAAAGGGACCATTAAACGGATTATATCAATAAAGTTAGTAAGTGGAACCGATGTATTATAGCCTAGGCCTAATTTAAAATTGGAAATGAACGAGGTAAAATGACATTTTGGGGGATTTTGGGGGCATAACAATACGGCCGTGGCAAGTTTGTGGGAGGGGCCTAGCGGCTAAAATCTAGCGGAATAAGTTCAACACAGGCTGGCATAGGCAGTCGTTCAGTCTCTATAACCGGAGGTCTAGTGGAGCCAGACGTAGTCTCAGTGGAACAACCGACGATTATAGAGACTGAAGCTTTCGGTCTATGTAAGACCATGATGTACAAAGTAATGACGCTTCTTCGCGAATTAAGTAAAGAAGAAGAAACTTATAATCTCTATAAAGTAATAAGGCCTCGGAACCGAGTAGAGAAACAAGCAAAGAAATAGGACAAGAATTAAGATGAAGCTGAATTAGCTTTGCTGTAGATTGACTCTCTAGAATACGTGTGCTCTATATGAACAGCTCAGGAGAAGTGATGAAAATATGTGTGGCAAATAAAGCAAGTGTAATGTGCCTGTACAGTATAAGCTATACCAGTACATTAGGTGGTTGCACATCCCAACCCATAGGGTATGGAATGTGCTTGCCAGAATAAGTATGTGTGGCACTCTAGTAATGTAACAGGTGTCACTAAAGAAATGAGTGACAATGGAATAAAAGGCTAGACTTCAAGCCACACAATAAAGACAAGACAATAATATTTACAAATGCAAAGTTCTCTAAGGGTCAAGTCACTACAGATCTATATCTGAATGAGGCAAGAAGAACTTTAGCTTACATGTACATCACTCGAGCAAAGCAAAGAGAGGCGAGTCAATGCTAATGCGTATGGAGTTCTAGCACTGCACTACGTGTTAATAGGCAGCATTTGAATACATGAATTTAGTCAATACACATAACACGCAGATGCACACAATGATGCCGATGCGGCTGATATGATATGATCAGCATGTTTGACAGTGGACTCACAATTTGAATTTTTTAATTATTCTTTCTAACATCAGAAAGTTGAAAAATTATATTTTCCTGCTATTTAGGTGTCATCAATCGTCACTAATGTACCAATTTTGAGTGAAATCAGTTGAGTTTTGTACAGTGGTGTTTGAAATGTTGAGAATCAACAGCACGTCAGCTTTTAATACACAGCCAGGATAGTAATGCAGCCAGGCGCGTACGCAGGGGGGGGGGGGGTTTGGGGGGTTAACCCCCCCCCCCCTTTGGTAATTTTGTGTATGTAAACCCCCCTAAAAAAACCTAAAACCCCCCCTTTGATTTTTTTTTTTTTTTTTTTTTAAATTAAAAAAAATAAATAAATAAATAAAAAAAAAATCATTCCCACGACCGACCTAAAAAAGGTGACCTTAGCAAAATCTCCAATTTCCAAATTTCCTCTTACCCCCCCCCCCCCCTCCCCCCCCCCACCCCCCCGCTGAGTCATTGCGATTTTTTTTTCGGGACCCCCCCCCCCCCCCCCAAAAAAAAAGTGTGCTCTTACACGTCCTCCCTCCTTCATCCGATCTCAGCCTCATTTTCGTAAGTTGGCACCCAGCCTAGCCGACATGGGCCCTTCAGATTGGCTATCGCTGTTCTCTGTTCACTCAATGCAATAAGATATTTGTGCGAGGAGCAAGCTTGCGATTTTCCTTTTTTTGTTATACCAAAATTATGATATTTCAGTCAAACCCTCTATGTTATGATTTTTTCACTTCAGTATTTTACTTAAGTATTTCACTTAAGTTTAAGTTTCACTTAACTATTTTTTAAGTTTGAACAATTCTCATTTTCGTCATATTTAAGGTACAAACTAGAAATTTATTCTGAGATGTTCGTTGATTTTTCTATTTAATGTGTCTGCAATGCCGTGTGTGCATCAGTTATGTTGTGAAGTTCGTTATCTGTTTAAAGCAGGACGTGTCAAAATCTCCATCGTGTGACGTAATATTACGCATTGACTTTGCCATTGAACTTACGTTGCGCTAAGATCACAATCAAAGTTTAAACAATACCATTGTAAAACCAAATGCCTCCTGTGCAGGTCCCTTTCATACTTTATAAATCTTCTTAATAAAAATGTAATACTAACATAGATCTAAATTATATTTTTGTAATTTCACAGTTCATGTTTGTACTATGTGAATGACTTTTGATAGTATTTATCTTGATTTTCTGCATTTCTGAACATTTCTTGCCATCTCCCCTCATCTGTAATATAAGTACTCCCTTTGTCTCCCCCCCCCCCCCCCCCCCCCCCCCCCCCCCCCGTCATCTCAAGTTCAAATTTAAGCTCATTTATTCAAAACCACTCAAGACACATGATATAATATTTTACATAATAAAGAGACTCTCTCTCTCTCTCTCCGTCTCTCTCTCTCTCTCCCCGTCTCTCTCTCTCTCTCTCTCTCTTTCGTCCCCCTTCCCTCTCTCTTTCTCTCTCTCTTTCTTTCTCATCGCTCTAACTCTCCCTCTCCCACACCTCTCCCTTTCTCTTTCTTTAAAAAAAATTGAATTTTATCAAGGAATTTGTATGAAATGTTTGATTTTTAATTTATGTCGTATTTTGTTTTAATTGAATTGCAATTGCAATTGCATTGTATCTTTGTGAAATGGATCGCAATTCAGCCATTGGCTGCGATGATCTGTTTGATAAACCGTTTCTATCTACATCTATCTACAGTATCTATCTATCTATAAAGAAAGTACTACGTATACTTCTTTCCCCTCTTTCTACTTTCAAAACTGGGCTTAAAACTCACCTGATGTTCAATGCATATATATTGTCAAATTTCAATGTTCTTTTTATACAATACATGCAAAGCGAATAATCACACTGTGCCACATTGTACGTACATGTACCATGCCACCATGAAGTTGTGTGACCTAATGTACATGTAAGTTAACTTTTAATATTTCTTTAACTTGTTCAATATTAATGTAAATTATTTGTATGCACCTTGAGCATCTCTAGAGATGGATATGTTGCGCTTTATAAATAATGTTATTACTATTATTTCTTTGCTGCTACCGGATGCAGTTACAATTTTACTGCTGGGGGTGGGGGAGGAGGGGAGGGACCTGCATTGTACATGTACAATGTATCCTATACCATGTCATGGTTAAGTAAATTCCACCTCCTCCCCTTTTTACATGTAAATATAGGGAAAACTTGTTAAAAAGTTACACAAAAGAAATTATTCATCATAGTTAGTTTTTATTTCTGCGTTTTCAAAATAGAACATACCGGTAATCATACATAAAGTAACAATTTGTCTTCATTTTACATAATTATACATTTTTAAGTACATTAAATAAATGCATACAAACACAAATATTTTTCAATGAAAGTGGATAAATAACAGAAAACGCAGGAGACGGCCATCATGAGCGGTAAGCTTGAAATCGATTGCGGCCTCAAGAGAGTAGCGGCAAACTCTTAAATTATATAATTGTACACGCAAAATTGATCAAGTGGGTGCAGTGAAAGTGCATGTGCAAGTGTGAATGAGGTTCTGGTAATGTAAATAATGCGTACAAGCTAGTCCGCTTTACATGTTGCTATCTTATCATGCTGTATTCTCTATGGATATTGTGTTGTAGGATTATAAGATGAACCAGATGTTCAGTTTCCCACCATGCAGAATATTTTGTACTAGGCAAAATAAAATAAAAACATGTTTAGCGTCCTGCTTTTTTGAAAAATAGGAAGGAGGAGGCCCTTTTTTTTCCTTCAAAATTGCCGCTCAAAATGGCCGCTCGGTACATTTTCCCTCATAGTCAAGCTATTTTTCTAGATGGCCGTCAAAATTTTTTTATATATTTTTTATAATCAGAAATAGATCCATTTTAGCAGTGTTTTTCATGTTTTTTTTCCTTTACAAAAATATTTTAAAAATTAAAAATATTAAAAAAAAAAAAATAAATAAAATAAAATAAAATAAAAATAGGAGGCAGCCCTCAAAAAAGGAGCGGGCGGGGACGCTAAACATGTTTATTTTGTTAATGGCCCTACAAGTCCTTAATTATTTTGTAGTTTACATTACGTGTCCTGGGGGATGTTTCACAAAGACCAAGATTGACTTAAAGTTGGACTTACACTGTACATGTACACTGTACATGTAACTATGACAGGCCATTCATAAGACGGTGCACAACAGTGTAATGAGGTACCCGAGTACACTCCCAGGCTTACAAGCGAATACTCGAATATTCGGACGCCATGTTTTTTTTATAATTTTTTGAATTTTGTTGAATTTTGTTGAATTTTTTGTTGTTGAATATTTGATTTTTTTTTAAACAAATTTTTGCCACCACCATACCACCAGTATACCAGCTCCGTCGCCGAAAACGCATGCAATTTTACTTTGAGTTGCAGTTGAAGGCGCAGATTTAATAATAATAATAACAGTAAACAATGCTGTTTTAAAAACCAAAGATGGCAGAATAATCCAAACAGAAATCTGGACATTTGGTCCCAGATTCTGAGTGGTGAGTTTGACAGTGCTTGAGTTGGGAAACATTTTTACCGACGACACCATGCCAGCGGCCGCTGCTCTCCCTGGCACGGGTAACCGTCGGCCTGGGATTTTTTATTGTTTTGCCGAATATTCGAGTAAGAGAAATCGTACTTGAGTAGTTGTCAACAGTGCGGTAATTCATGCCACTGGTTACTGTCACCAATAGTCTTTCAACTATGATCTTTAGATAATATTTTTTATCTTCATTAATGAATTATCAAAAAATGTAAATTGTGTAGATTTGTTACCATGATTTATACACCTGTACGTCTCTTGACAGACCAGTGCCAGTAAATAGTGAGAGCAAATAGTGGCATGAACAGCCTGTCAAAGTTAAGTCCAACTTAAAGTCGATCTTAGTCTTTGTGTTATTCGAGAGCTGAGTTGATGAGATAACCACCTGTCCAGTGACCTTGCAGTGTGGTCTAATCCTTCCTTTACACTAGTAATGACAGGCTTTAAAACCATGCAGGCCTCCATACATTGTGCATTTATATGTACTCAATTCCCATTTATGATATCCCCATATTCGTTGTAGAATGTGTACATGTGTATTTACCACTTCTATGAATAGAATCGAATAGAATCTTTAATTAGAGTGATTTTCACCTTTTGACAAAACCCAAGGCCACAAAATGTTGTTGTTGGTCATTAATTTGGAACAGAACAATAAAATCTCTCTCTCTTTCTTTCTCTCTCTCTCCTTTTCTTTTTCTCTGTCTGTCTCTCAACTCTCTTTCTCTCTCCTGTCTCTCTTCCTCTCTATCTGTCTCTCTCTTTCGGTTCTCTGACTCTCCTCATTTTGTTTTCTGTCTATCTGTATATACTGTATATCTTTCTTTCTCACACCTCTCTCTCACTCTCTCTCTCTTTCTCCCCCTCTCTCTCTTTCTCCATCCCTCTCTCTCTTTCTCCCTCCCTCTCTCTCTTTCTCCCTCCCTCTCTCTCTCTCTCCCTCTCTCTCTCTCTCTCTCTCTCTCTCTCTTACTTAAATTTCTGTGTCAGTATTTCAACTCCCGGACTCCTTTACAATGTTCCTGCCAATGTACACTTTAAACACTAATACAGTGTACACCTGTAAATGAAATGTACCTGTATGACTATGACATTTTCTAATCCTGTTTTATCTTATGCTTTAACACTTTGCATGTTAAACCAAAAAGTCTAGACAGTGGTGTAGCCACGGGAGGCAAGGGGCACGTTCCCCCTACCCATCGAGGGGTGGAACAATTCGAGAGAAATTGACAAAAGAAGATTCCTGGACCCCCCCCCCCCCCCCAATCACTAAATTCACAGTTTATTCTCCAAGTATTTAATACAATGCATCAGACAGATTTGCACTACATGTACATCATGGTGCCAGATGAGACTCATTAATCTCAAATTCCATCTTTTTGAGGATTCATTCAATTTTAATCCATAGCCATCATCCTTAATTCCCTAAAAAACACTTGTAATACCAAGGAGGATATTACAAGCTGGTATCAATAGCCACTGTACAAAGACTAGCGCTTATTATCCTTCATTTCAAATGCAAACATTTGTGATACGGCTCCCCGGCCCTAATATCCTTCCACCTGATGAATCCTTGTAATTAAACACCGTCTGTTTTCCCTCACAGCTGTTGATCTCACAGAGTGTGTTTACATACGGGCCTCCATCCATAGCAAGCTAATGAAGATAGCCTGCTCGTTCTTCATTCAACTAGACTTCTACACAGAGATTGACATGGTTCTAGGTAAAAAAAATTCTAATTTTTTGAGATTGACATGGTTCTAGGTAAAAAAAATTCTAATTTTTTTTCCTCAAACAGGTTAATGGCTGTACATCGTGGTAAAAGGTGTGTGTGTAGGAATTAACTGGCGTTTTGACTGTGTCTCTAAATGGTGTTCATGATTGTTTTCTAAAAAGAAATGTAGGTGTAAATTCTACAATGTTGTACATTTATCATCATATTATTTTGTTGGCAACAGAATATCTCATTCTTGCTTTTGCTTATCAAAAGCTTCAGAATTCTTCATTATTATGTTCATCATTGCAATATACATGTATATAGCATGTATAGGTAGCATGTACAATGTATATAACTCTAAATCTGATTTTAATTTAAAAGAAAGACTAGTAGGTAAATCGACAAGTACCTGAATATTTGCACCTGTTTAGGCTGTTATAAAGATCTGTTGTGTTTAATACCGGTACATAAAATGTTTTATACATGTACATGATGTGAGGCAGTCGACATTCATACCAGAAAAAAAAGAATATCAGACTTACATAGGGTGCGTTTATTGACAAATTTTTTGCCTAAAATCGGCATTTTCAAATGTCTTTCAGGCAAATTTTTAAGGTGATAAACACACACTATGAATATGACTGACAAAAAAAGTGGACAAAATATACAGTTCCTCAGGTAGACAAAGGAACATTCCTTCACTGCTATTATGTAAAAATGTGTAAAACAGGTTTCACATGCATATTAACTTTTTACATAATAGCAGTGAAGGTATGTTCTTATGTCTACCTGAGGAACTGTATATTTTGTCCGCTTTCTTTGTTCGACATGTTCATAGTGACAAAGCCTTTTTCAGAAGTCTTTAGATATGGGCATATTGTAACATTGAAAAAAGTGTGTTTTAAATGTGACTAGTACATGTACAGCCAGAATCACGTTTCTGAGACATGATAAATGCAAAGCTGTTTTGAACCCCACATACAAATCAGACCTTCCCAGGTTAATTTCCGGTTCGTATGGGGTTCGATATGTACATATCAGTGGCAAGACACGATAAACGCACCCACGTACACATTTAACTGTCAGACATGGGGCCTTGTATGAACAGGGGATTAGATAGTTGACCTTTAAAAAGAGAAGTCTAGCTTATTGTTATACATGTGATAGACTGTCAACAACAAAAACCAGGCTACTGACGGCACTCTCTGTAATTTAAGTGCACAGTCTATGATGGATCATACTAGTCTTCATGATTGGCTTTATACAAAATGATAAATCTCAATATTGTTATATTGATAAACAACATTTTGCCATAAAATCATTCACTCCAGTAGTGTGACCCACAGTAGAATTACTTGTCATTACATTACGAGCCAGAGCAATATAACACTGAGTTCCTATAGGACATCTATTTATTCAGATGGTCATATCTCAGCCAATACTTAACATATTCAATTGGTTTTCGACATTTGGACATTTTTTATGCTCTTCTGGAAAATGAAGAAAACATTTAGAAATTCAAAAAGTAGATTTTTATGATGTCACAGCTTCGGTACTATATTCTTACCAATCCACTTTACCAAAACTCAAAATTACTTGTCATTCATAAGCTTTTAAAGGTATAAAGAAAGAGGCTTCTTACAAAAAAACAAGCATTGAGATTAGAGTTTTTGCCTGCAGACTATTATAACATGGCTTTAATACAGAACTTCCATTATTAAATTGTCAGATCACTGAGATTATTCAGTGATATATATTTTCTTTGTACTGTACCTATGTTTGCATGTCTGTCTGTATAATTGGGATTTTACAGACAGTAAATCTGATTATCTCTGTCAGGAGACTAACCTTTGAAGGGAAGCTACCCTTAAAGATAAAGTTGAGTTCTGGTCATGTGATTGCAATTTGAACGAAATCAGACAAAGTTGATCATGTAGCATATAGTGTGTACTGCAAGGTTCTGGAATCAACAAAATTATAAGAAATTTGACCCATGCAGTCTTGGTAAAAGTAACAAGCACTGTCACAGAAAGATGTACATGTATATACCGTATGTGACTACACAAACATGTGGCATAAAAATGAGATCCTCATTTTAGCTGTTACATGTCATATTTAGAATATGAAGGCATTTGAAGAGCCATGCTTTTCAGGGAATATTGTTTCTCTGGTGTTCTTCCACACTTGCATAATAACAACAACAACGCTCACACACAAATTGTTTTCCACCTCACCCCAGAACTCAATAACCTTACTAGCTGGACCGAGATTGTCCCTGTGCTTATCCCATTAGAATTCTATTTTTTTTTAAAATCAGCTTTCAATATGTTAAAAGTTGCTCAAAATGAAAGCAGCAAATCAGAAAAGTAGATCAGTATTACAGCCTTTTCACACACAGCTAAAATTCTATAAACATGATTAGTATAAACGTGTTTAAACTAATCACCTGAACATACAACATCATTCACACACAGAAATTTCGGTGCGATCGTTAATCGTTTCGTGATTAACTACTGCTCGTAAAATGCGCAGTAGTGCCATTGCGCATTGAAGGTCATGTCATATCAATCAAAGCGCACGCTCCATCCAGTTTAAACACGTCTGAAATACGTTTACACACGAATAACCTTTTACACACAAAATGTCAAGCTCTCTAGATACGAACTTCGTATCTGCAGCCTGCTTTTAGGGGCGTATGAATTGCGACTTCGTATCTATCCCAACATCGTATAAACGATGTTTCACACAGGGAAAATTTTCTATAAACATGTCTAAAACTGTTGAGTTAAACACGTTTATACTAATCATCTCTAGATATTTTACCTGTGTGTGAAAAGGCTGTTAGTTTGAATGGAAGCAGACTAAACAGTTAGATGTTGTAATCCTTTCAAAACATATCCTAATGAAATCCAAGAACACTTGTAAATGAACTGTTTGGCGATTGACTGTATATGTTTTTAGATGCTGCTTGTAAGTATCGGCTTGCATGGTGATGTAGATATACAGTAGGCATGCGGGTGCACCATCAACAGTCCATTTCAGGACTACAGACCCTCAAGAAAGATTACCGAGAGTCCTTTTCAGGACTCCACAATCCTCCCTCTCTCTCACATGGTGCACCCGCAAGCCTACTGCATATGTATGTTTTTGTTTTGAATATTAAAGGGGGCATACTTTCTATTAAAGTGCCATTACAGATTTGTGATGAGCATATTTTGGAGGTTGCAACCCAAATCCTTCAAGTCGAGATGAAATAGCAGTTATTACTTTCTTTTTAATAGCTCTATTAAATCCACCATATTCCAGTCAGTGTGAACCAAGAGTGACAATTTGTTTAAAATTGTTATTGTTTTATTATGTATTGCTTCAAATTAAAAATATTTACAATTGTTGTTCATTATAACATTCAATCTTCATAACAGATACAATACAATTCAAAGTAAACTAATGAACATGTAAAAGAATGAATTAAATATCAAATATCAGATCATATTGGAACCGTGACACTTTGCACACATAAACTCTTGAGTTGTGTTGGTCTCTTGGACTACATGTAGAGTTTAATGTGTGGAGGAAGATCGTGATTCACATGTTTATACAGTCCTATTTGGTTGCTATGTATCAACTATTCTTAATTATCTTGTTTCAGACCTGAATGAGGGGAAAAGGTACAATTAACTGGAAACTATTGCCTGCTATATGAAACCTCTTTGCTGCATGGTTCAAATTTTGCAGTTCCAGGAGGCCATCTGAAATCCATGAGGAAACTTTATTTTTTGCACATGTGAAAATGAATTTTGTGCAGTTCACTAGAAATAACCACCAAAAAAAAAAATGAAATTTGCAAACTAAAATGACCGTCATCTTATAATGTAGGTTCCTGAGCTGGCAACTCAAAAGCATGAGACCTGTGATATTGTCTTTTTATGAGCAGATTGTAAACATGTAATATACAGCTAAAAACTAAATTACTCATAATGTTTGTAATTTTTTGAGTATGAGTAAAAATTGATTTCTCCCATTTGTTTCTTGAGAATGTGAAATACTAAACATCTAAAAGTATTCAACCAGTCTACCTTTCATTCTGGAATTACGAAGAACACAAAAAACATCAAATTTACTAGAGGTATATAGTGTCATGACATTACTTGAGAGGGCCTGTTACACTTTATGTCAATACATGTATACCGTAATTAACGGTGTATAAACCGCACCTTTTTGCCGCCGAAAAAAATTCAAAGTCGGGGGGTGCGGTTTATACACGGTACACCAAAAAAAAAAAAAAAAAAAGTTTTGATTTATTTCCCTCCACCTGGTGCTATGCCTGGCAATGTAATCAGTAATCGGTGTGTTGAATCCAAAGACGTTTAAATATAATTACTAGACGGAAAGCAGCACGCGCGGAAACCATGCAGACGAATGTGATTAGGCTCCGCCTCTTTTGGATCATTTGAAGACAAAATAAGCACCCGAGGCGGCTTTTTGATTGGATATGAGCCTCATGAATATGTATTTTATCGATAGTATCGTTTAAGAAACCGGATAATATATTTGACCTCATTGCGTCACTTTAATTATGCAGATTTATGCACGACGCAGGCTACTCGCACAAACTGAGAAGATTTAGTTCATTGAGAATGGGTGAGTAATTGTTTGAAATATGAGTAGATTAAGTGAATTTAGTCATCAATTTTGAAAAAGCTGCAATAGTCTTTGTGATCTACGGTAATTTCGTTACATTGTGAGACCGTTCTCAACAGATTTTTGGGGAAAAGACTAGGAAATTATTGCTCTTGAAATTGAACTTTGATTTTCATCGTCATGAAGTAGTTTGACTGCAGTTTGCCGTCATTTCACCCTAGTACTCCTGTTAGGGGCCCGGCCGTTCCGGCAGGCCCACCCCGGGGAATTTCGGTGCTCATCTGCATCAAGATCAAACTTTCTAATCAAGTTTTATTTCAGATTTGATCGTCATCATGAATCTAATTCACCAATCATCGATTTAATTTAAATCTAGATTTAACGTTACATCTTACAATAATCTCTGAAGCATGATTTTTTTGATAATCCAAGTGGTTTAATTCTTGTTAAAATCTTTAGTAGATGTTGACTCTGATGGCTTTACTTATCAGTGCCATCCGTTCGCTCAGTTGCATCCGTGTCAACTTTATTTAGATCTAGACCAAAATTATCTGTGACCCTTGATAATCAAACAACTCCAAATCCTATTTCATTTAGATGTAAACCTGGAACTTATTAATAAAAAGTATTAAAAAAACACATCAACACTAGGATTTGTTTATGTAATAATTAGATTTTGTGTGGGTCCAGCATGCTTGTCATGTTATCATTTAGAGTCTAGACCTTGACCTTACTACTAGATCTAGATCTAGACCCCTATCAGTGGCGTACGCAGGATTTTTTCAAGGGGGAGGGGGGGGGGGGGTTAACATTTTGAAATCGGACCAAAAATTTCGCAACGACTCAGCCAGCCACTAAATAAGCATGGGGAGGGGGGTTAGGTCATCCATTTGGATTTTTTTTGTATTAAAAAAAAAAAAAAAAAAAAAAAAAAAAAAAAAAGGGGGGGGGGGGGTTTCCAGAAAAACATACACATAAAAAAAACTGAAGGTAGGGGGGTTTACCCCCCCCCCCCCTGCGTACGCTTCTGACTCCTGTTATTACTTTTAATATATTAGAGATTTTTTTTTCTCTGAATTGTGCAGTTCATGTTGATAAATCTATTTGTTTGTGTAAGAGAAGACCCCTTGTCCACAATTATGTTTACTTATGAAGTCTACTTCTTCTTGTCTTAATAAACCAATTCTACTTAAGACTACTTTATATTTATAGGCCATATAAAGCACTTTTTGAGGCACACGTTAAATCTTCCATTTGATTTTACTTTGTACTGTGGTCCATTAAATTGGAATGTTGATTTCCACACTATATCAAAATTAAGGCCAACCATGACATGAAAAATAGCTTTTATGCTAGATCTATTTTTATTTTGTTAAGGAGAAATGGACGCCTTGATTGTCGTATTGATTTTGTTTTCTTTTTGTTCCAACAGATGGAAACTGATGAAGAGCTGGAAGGAGTTAAATGATGAGTAGACATTACAACATTTCTTTTATTTTCAAGATGAAGCTGAAAGTCCCATGCAGGTAAAATTTTCAGGATATTTAGCACACAAATATTAAACCACCACCTATTAATTCACTAAAAAGGAAATGGAACTAAGTGTATGTTTCAAGTGTGTATAGTGGAGGGAATATTTTATTCTAGTTCTTCCCTTTCTTTGTTTACAAAGGGATTTGTCCTTATTTACAGGAGGTCCTGTGTGTAGAAGAACGATGTCTAATGCACATTCAAAGCACTACATAATAATGATAATGATCATACATGTAGGGTATACACAGGACCCCTCATTACTTTTTTTTTGTAAGTGGTCCTTTCACTTCTTGAGCAATGAAGATGAAGAAGAACACAACATAAGATTAACGAAAGTCTGTTTATACGATGAATTATGGTTGATATGTATCTATTATTATCACCTACATTGCTTTCTCTTATGTAGGATGATGCTTCTCTACAGTGGATGATGAAAGCATGCTGATTACAAACCCAGGAGAGGAATAAAGAACAGATATTGACAGAATCATATCTAGAGATGTGGGCCTACTGCACTTCATACAAGCAAGTGTGCTAATATACCATGTAGGTACCCCCAATAAACTATTGTAGAACACATTTATCATGCAGAAAGTTATAGATCTGACAATTATATTTTTCATTGTCCATTGACTTGTAAAAGAATACTTGACTGAATATCACAATTGTGATTTAGATTAAAACTAAAATGTCAATATACATGAAATATAAGTCTACATAACGTATGTTTCAATAGCATTATTTCCTGTACATTCTCTGTTCCAAGTTGTTTGGTCATTTTATGTAAACCGAGTACTATTCATTTATGACCACGAGTTTACATTACAAGTACATTGTACATGTACCAGTATTACTTATTTCATACTTGTCTGATCCAAGCTCCATCAGGCCTATTGTCTTAATGGGATCATCAGAAATAATCTAACATGTGGTCAGTAAATAGTCTTGTAGGAAAAAAAGTTTAGGTTTTCCCACTAGAACCCCAAGTGAATATTAGTCCTTCCTCTTTTTGTCAGAGCAGGTATCATGGTGTATGTTATTAGTTGTTGTTTATTTTCTTATACACTGTATCTTATTTCATTTTTCCATTCAACAGACTTGGGTTATCATCACAGCCCTTTCTTCTGAAAACTAGCCTACAACTTCATCAATGAATGCAGAAGACATCTACATGGGACTACGTCTTAAAGATGCCCCCTCATATAATGAAAGAGGACAGTAGAGATGGGTTTAAACTTGAATATTTACATACTATTTATTTATTATTTGTATTATATGTTTGTAGAATACCACATTTAAAAAAAGCTAATGAATTTATCATCTTGTCAACTTTCAAATAATTAAACTAATCATCAATGAATAAACATTAATGACATTTTAACAATGTCAACTACCATCTTATAGGATGAAACTGAGTGCTGGGCAGAAAGAATTTCCTTGAAATTTGAGTGATAAAGATTTATCAGTCTATATCAAAGATTGAATCAATCAATGATATTTTAATTATAATTATACATGTTGAAATTCATTTACCTCAGTCTATGGACTTCTGTATTTGAAGTTTTGTAGATTATTACATTATTGCTGCTTCAAGTATTGTATGTAAGAAGGTTTGAAAGACAACCCTCTAAATGCACTGAATATGAAAACTGCTAATCATTATTGCCTGTTGTATCCAAACTGCTAATTTTAATAGAATCATGTTTTGATACTTCCTAGCTTAAGAAAACAGGGGGGGGGGGCTTGTTATCCTCTTCCTGGTGCTGTTTCTAAATGGACCATGTAATAGGTTGCAAAAGTGTATACAATATTATATTTGTTATTTGTTTATATTAGAAGGATTTAGAAAATGAAAACGTTTTGAATTATAGAATTACTGTTGCTAGAAGTAATGGCAGTATTGATGTGTAAGGGAAGGGGTGGTTTTCCCAGTGAAATTAACGGTATGCCAATGTCAAATTGATAACAAAGAGAAAACTATTCCTAAAAATAAAATTATAAAGGACATGGGCCTCCCAACTAACTAACCCTGGTACCACTTCTGGGTTTTTTTTTTTTTTTTTTTGGAGGGGGGGGGGGGGGCGCCCCAATTCAAAATTTCCAGTGTTAAATTCCATTGTCTTTAAACAAAAAATATGTCAAGATGTTGAAAAACAATGTTTCACTTTCCGTTTTCAATTCAAATAAAATGATTATCATATTTCAGTCCGATCTCTCTGGTCTCTACATTAAAAATGTTCAAAGCTCCTGCAAAGGCTGCAAAAAGGAAAAGTGAAGATAATCCAAGTGAAATGTGGACAGTAATGGAGTGAATATGGATCAATGGTTGATCGTAGTTGATAACGAGTAAATGTAAATGAATGGTATTACGACTGAAAGTGAGACAGATAGGAACTGCAACAGGTTGTTCAGTCAAGACAACGAACCGTTAGTTGCATGCAGAAGATAATTTACGAAAGACAGAGAAAGAGAGAGAAAGGGAATCATTAAGGTACGATGAGAGTGGGTGGAGAAAAACAATCCCGTTAGCCACATAATTTGTCTAAAATAAGGAAACTTTATACATTAGCATATTTGAAATGTATAATCATAGCCAGAGAATCATGTTGTTATATAGGTTATAGCATGTTTGATTCAATAAAACAAAAACAGACCCAGTTATTGATAGACTAAAAAGGAAATAAGATCGAGACATTAAGAATATCAGTATTTCTTATTCAATGAAGTTAAGGCCACTCCCCCATATTAAAAAACAACAACAACACAACAACGAGAGGAACTTTTAAGGTCCACTTCCCGATGCATCCTGGGTAAACCAGCTGTTATACTGGTGATCGATAATACAAGTTCGAGCGCGTATTTCACCTAACGGTGATCGCATCAGAATAATCCACGCTGATTCGCTGAATCACTTGCGTTGCGAGCGCGCAGCGTGATGAATAAATTACCCATAATTCCGTACAGTAGATTATTTGACCTCTCTAATTACGCTGATACGCGTATTGTCTTTTACCATGTAGTGAACATAATTCCAGTACACTTTTCGTGGGGAGCATCCTACAGAATGCATAATTCATAAGGCTCATGAATTATGCAAGGGGGCTTATTTTGGCTTCTAATGGATCCGGACAAAATGGCGGAGCTTGGGGGGCCTGGTTGAATCACCACTCGGAAACTAGAACAACACTCAAATTTGTCTGTCATCTTGGTTTGAAAGTAATCTTTCTGATAGATCTCAATATGTAGTTTATAATAATAATTCCTCCAGTTTTTCTTCTATTACACGGCGTACCACATCACATGGTTCTATCCTAGGTCCTCTACTGTTTTTTAAAATTTACATTAATGATCCTACACATTCAGCTGCACCCCGCAGTTAAATGAAAGGCCTTCCCGCGTGGGTTTTTTAACACGGGCCTGGCTTGCTGCCGACAGAATTTTTATTTTTATTTTTATTTTATTTTTTTATTTTTTTTAGGGTTAAAAAGAGGGGTGCGGTTAATACACGTGGGCGGTTTACATGTATACACTGTTAATTACGGTAAATATATTCATGTATTATATATTTTTATCAATATCCTCTTACAATTGATTTAACCTTGCATACCAGATGGTTGTTTTAATATCATGCATGAAATATTTCAATTTATATGTAAATTATGAGCAAAATTAAATTAGATTATTTTATTATTAATCTTTTGGTTTATTATTCTTTTTCACAGATGAACTGACATACAGGCCTCCATCTAGCTCCACCTGTGTACTATATGTACCACATCTCTGCCTGCATTACTGATCCAGCATCTCATCTGTTGGAGTTAGCTACATATGTGATTGAACCCATCGACCTTTGACCTCAGAAATATGTCAAATCAGACAAACATGAAAATCAAACAGAGACACACCTAATTGTGATTGATTATTAATTGCGTGTACACACTGCATGGAACCCTCTCAAGTCTACACGGATGAGTGGACTGACTCTCATTGCATTGTAGATGAACCGTTGCTAGTCGTCATTCAGAACACAGTGTCTGAACATTGAGACTATAGACTGCATTCCATAGATCCTGTACTAAAGATGTATCTACCAAGGAAACATCCAATGGAAGCCTGATTAGTCTTCACCATGGACATAATTTACTTTGTATAGTGTCAAATTAGAGTCTGAGCTTTGAGACTACTAAACAACCTGTTGATTTCAGTCGAGTTCGTGAATGGATAGCGATTCAGCATTGGAGATCCCCCAAAAGAGTGCCAGAGGAGAAAAGAACTACTTGCTACCAGGAATTCTCCCAGTTTTTCTATCAATCTGAAATTGGACTCGAGCTAGCAATGGATTTTTCATTTTAGTATGAGGATGTATTATTAAATAAAAGATGACTGCAATATGTATTATCATGACCTTGAGGGAACGATCATGATTGTAGCATACAGTAAGTGAGAGACAACTACTGAAGTACCTGCATTATTTTGGTTTCAAGTTCAAGGAAAACAGCATCAGAATATTTTACCTTTTATATGCACATACAATCATAGCCAGTTCTCTCTCTCTCTCTCTCTGCCTCTCTCTCTCTCTCTTTCGCTCCCTCTCTCGCTCTCTCTCTCTCTCTCTCTCTCTCTCTCTTTCTATCCCTCTTTCTCTCTCTCCATCTGTGAGTTTTACCGATGGATGATTCATAACGGACCAATCAATAATTGAATGCTGTTCTTTTCTGCGCGGAGGACCTTGTGGCATTGTTCTCAGGAATCATTCACACTGGAATCAGATCTGTGAATGAAAGTGACGGAAACGTGAGAATATTTTTGGAAATCATGTGAGAAACAATTTTCAACATATGTTTAATATCTGAGGAGAACACGTCAAGGCAGTTCACTCGTATTCTAGATCTACAATGTATGACATATACCAGCGACTTTCAGTGCTTTAATTTTGTTCTTAGATCATTTGGATACTGTATTGGAATTGTGCAATTGAACTTCAACTTGGGCCTACTTACATTGAACGATGACATGTGAAGAAATTAAAGCCCAGAAAACCAGCAGGTGCACTTTTGGAAAGGATAGCTGCTGAGTGGATCTAAGAGAGAGATACATTCAAGTGGATATTGGATTCCTTTGAATACTCTCAAGTGGAGAGTGCTTGGTTGACTGCAACACGACAGCTTTAAATCAAGTAGTGATACTTGATTTCACCTACATGTACATGCGCAGTGCCTGTGTCCTCTGTAGACATTAATTGAATTTAGAAGAGAAAGATGGTCTTCAAGGTAACTTTGTACAGTCATAAAGCAGTTCTCAATATTCATGAGTATTGAGGTCCAGAGGAATTTACAGGACATAGTCTAGGACATACTCTAGGACATACGCTAGCAGTGGATTATAAGGTCTCTACACAAGTCTTGAGATCTCTTGTACGCATCCAATGATAACCTTGCGAACTTGCAAAGAGAGAAGCGTAATAATATACATGTGATAATCACATACATGCATACTTGCAATCTTGATTGATAAGTAGATATTTGTGGACGTTTTCCGTGAATTCAAACCATCAATGAGCTTCCACCTTGTATTAGGGTTTAATATGTGATCAAAGTATGCTAGTCTTTCATAACAGACTGTCATCCAATCGATATATTATTCATTCTGTCTAGTACAGTACTGCAAAAGATAGAATTTTCATTCTCTTTGCTAATGTGTGAATATATTTATGTGCATTTAGTCTTCCTTAAAAATATCATCAATTCCAGGGATTAAGTGCCTTTTTTTTCATTAAAGAAAAGTTTTATATTAGATCAATGTAATATAAATACAAACATTAGTTTTGTGCAATACAAGATTTATTTCATATTAAATTTCAAAAGTTTATGGCATATCTATCCTTTAAAGAAAATCTATTTTTACAAAGATTACTTTAATAGGATTTTTAATAGAGATTTATCATCTTTAATCTTCATTTTAACTCAATTACGGTAATTTTTGTTCAAGCCAGTTCAAGACACTTCTTTGTGAAATAGTACCATACATCTGAGTTTTTTACTTGCTTTTTGAGGAGTGAGCATAGTTAATTCAATCAAAATAGTTGTTAGCTTGAAGCTCCACTGATACGCATGCTCTGTATGATTTACATGAACATTGAAGCAAAGTAGACTCTGAATCAAAGAACAATGGGAGATTATGATGAGGGCTTGGCTAGCGGGGAGTCGTTCCCCTCTCACGACGAGATCAAGACGATCGTAGAGCAGAAAGCGAGGGAGCTGTTCATGGTTTGCGATGTGGAGCAGAAGGGGTTTGTGAGCAAGCGAGACATGCAGCGGCTCGTCGATGAACTACCTCTCATGCCTGATCAGCTGGAGGAAGTCTTTGATTCCCTGGATGACGATAAGAATGGATACCTGACGCTGGAGGAGTTTACTGAGGGGTTCGGTGAGTAGTAAATTGGATGACAGTGATGGTGCTACTTATAATAATGATGATTGCGATGGTTATAACAATGGTGATGATGGTGATGATGATGGTAATGATGATGATTTTGGTGGTGGTGGTGGTGATGATGGTGATAATTATAACGATGATGGTGATGGGGATGATTATAACAATGATGATGGTGATGGTTATAACAATGATGATGATTATAACAATGATGATGGTGGTGATGATGATGATGGTAATTATGATGATGAGGATGATGATGGTAATGATGATGATGATGTTGGTGATGATGATTTTAATGATGGTAATAATGATGATGATGATGTTGGTGATGATTATGTATGGTGATGATGATGGTAATGATGATGATCGTGATGATGTAGGTGATGATGTTGGTGATGATGATGATGATGTTGGTGATGATGATGGTAATGATGATGATGGTGATGGTTACGAAAATGGTGGTGATGATTATAGAATGATGATGGTGATGATGATGATGTTGGTGATGGTGATGATTATAACAATGATGATAGTGATGGTGATGATTAGAACAATGATGGTGATGGTGATGATTATAACAATGATGATGGTGATGGTGATGATTATAACAATGATAATGGTGATGGTGATGATTATAACAATGATGATGGTGATGGTGATGATTATAACAATGATGATGGTGATGGTGATGATTATAACAATGATGATGGTGATGGTGATGATTATAACAATGATAATGGTGATGGTGATGATTATAACAATGATGATGGTGATGGTGATGATTATAACAATGATGAATGTTGAGAGGAGGAGGAAAATGAATTTCATGAGGTTGACAATGTTAATGGTGCTGATGAGGATAATTATAATTGTGGTGCTGGTGTTGTTGATGGTGATGATGATGATGGTAGTAAAATGAGGATTGTGGTTGTGAACGATTGTGATGGTAATGGTGATGATGATTGTCATGATGGTAGTGATGATGATGATGGAAATAATGATAACATCCCCTTGATCTCATTATTTCCAGGAGGATTTCTTGGTCTTAAGTCAGCTCCTATAGATCACATTGAGACAGACGATGGAGAGTATACAGAGAATCGAGATCATGATGAGATAGAGAGAGACTTCAAACATGCAATGGAAAGCATCGGTGCTACAGGGGTCATAGCTGAGTAAGTCATCCATCTACAGTCTATCAATGTGGGCTTCATGTACATGTATGTAGGAACTGTTTTAAGTACAGGGGTGTGTTTCATAAAGCTGTTTGTAAAGTTACGCATGACTTTACAAACGACTTGAATAAAGTGCCAGATGGATGCCCAAAGCTTTTCCTGATGTTTTATCAAAGTGTGATTATATTTCCAATAACCTAAATTAAATTATGGCAAAAAATATACTTTGCATTAAATTCTTTTGTTATAATAAGAATGTTAATCTACACCTGCGCAGTTAATCTTTAGGTGATGCAGTTAAAAAGGATTGAGCATCCCATTTGGCTTTTCATATTTAAGTCATTCCTAAAGTCATGCGTAATTTTACAAACAGCTTTATAAACCCCCCCCCCCCCCCAGGTATCTAACTGAAATGTATTTGAGACATCAGTACCCCTGTCTTATGACAGCTTTAATAGTTCCCCACCTTACAGTTTTGCGATTAATGCGGGACTGTACTTATAGTTACCTTAATTTTCTTTTTCAAAGAAGATTGAATCCTTTGTTGATTAATTGTAGATAAATACATGTAAGTTTTAATACATGTATGTCATGTTCCCAAGAAACTTTAATCAGTATTTTAAAAGTTACAAAAATTCATATTAATTTAAAGGGTATGAGTAATTTAGTTGTACAGCCTTTGAGAGTAGTTTAAAGAGAAGGTTGAGTTCTAGGAAGAGGTGAACAATCATTTGTGTGTGAGCGTTGTCATAGTTATTATGCAAGTGTGAAAGATCATCAGAGGAAAAATGTTCCCTGAAAAGCATGGCTCTTCAAATGCCTTCATATTCTAAATATGCCATGTAACAGCATAACAAATCATGACAGATTTTTATGCTACATGTTCGTGTAGTCCCATATACACATCTTTCTGTGTACCGGTACAGTGCTGGTTACTTTACCAAAACTCAGCCAAATTTATCATCATTTTGATGATTCCAGAACCTTGCAGTACACACCAATACTTATTTGCTACATGATCATCCTTTTCTGACCAATCCGCACTGTTTCTTTCATATAGCAATCACATGACCAGAACTCAACTTTATCTTTAACTGTACATGTAACATGTTCCTTGATGTGCATCTCTGTGATGTTCTTTTTCTTTGATTCTAGACATGATTCAGTCAAGGATCTGTGGAAGAAACTGAATCAAGATGAGCCAGGTCTTCTGACAAACTTTGAGGATTTCATCCAACATGTGTGCTTGGACAAGAGGACTTCACAACTCAATACAGGCGAACTGGAGAATGCACTCAAAAGGTAATAATAAAGGGAGTGGGTCGTCAGGTTCCATGTGCAGAAGTTCATAATTCGCTGACACCAGTCTTGGTGGAAATACCGTTAATGGGAGTACAAATGTGCACACAGCGAACCTGTTGGCCCATCAAGAATTACCCCTTATCGCTCGGAGAGCTTCGTGTGAGGGAAAAGCAAAGCATTACATAAGGTCTAATGGTCATAAAACTCAAGGCTAACACTGGTGATTGACAACACCTGTTATTGGGTTAACACGACACGTGCACGACACGTGCGTTTACATGTATCTCTCACAGACCATTTAGATAAACTAATTTACCAAATACATCAATTAGTAGGCGGTTTCCCGGCAAACTTTTTATCATCATGTATTAGTCAAAACATATTCTTTCACATGATTGGTAAAAAGAGCTTCCATTTTATTTTTTGAAATTGGGACGTTTCCAATACTGGTCTTTACCTTTAATTAGAAGAGGAGGGGAAAAGCTACCCTATCTGACAAAATGAACTTCCACACAAATTCAAAATTCATGATACAGTCAAACCTGCTTACCGACAACCTGTCTACACAGAGTCAAAGACCACATCTTTTGTTTCCCTTGAAAATTGTTTCTTATTGAAATTTCTTCTTGAAACATGTAATAAAGGAACCTGTCTACAAAGACCACTCATTGTGTTTCCCTTGGGCGGTCGTTATAGACAGGTTTGACTTTATTGCTGAAACTCACATAATAAGTACCTTCCCTAGAAATATATTTTGTGAGTTTTAATGACTTCCAATGCAATGTCATTTTCCTTTTCTTATTTGTTCAGCCGAGACACCATACACCAGCAGGACATAAAGCATCTGTATGAGGAGATGGAGAGACAGATTCGGATGGAGAAAGAAAAGATCCTTTCAGAGGTAAATCATCGTAAAATCCTCCTTTTGAGATTTAGAGGGAGAGCCTGGCTTAGAAGCTAGTTTACAAACATATTCACTAACTATACTAATGATGTTGATATACAATGAATAACAAGCTTTGCAAATCATCCCCAAAAGTTATTGGAAATTACCTGACATGTTCTCCTGTTTCCCATCCTAACCAATCCCTGATCTAAAAGTTATAAACTATCAAGTGAAAATATCCCATGAATATTTTCTCCCTCACTCTCATTGTGTGTTTATCTTGTTCTCGGTCTCTATCTAATCTTACTTTTTCTCAATTTCTTTCTTCATCTCTCTCTTCTTTTATCTCTCTCTCTCTCTCTCTCTCTCTATCTCTCTGTCTTTCTCTCTCTCTTCACTTATTCTCTCTCTCTCTGTCTCTATCTCTCTCTCTCTGTCTTTCTCTCTCTCTCTCTATCTATTTCTTTCTTTCACTCTTCACTTATCCTCTCTCTCTTCTATTTTCTCTGTCCCTCTCTCTCTCTCTCTCTCTCTGTCTTTCTCTTTCTCTCATTTCTCACTCACGCTCTCTCTCTCTCTCATTTCTCTCTCTCCCATGTATCTCTGCCCCCCCCCCCTCTCTCTCTTTCTCTCTCTCTATCTCTCTCTCTCATTTCTCTCTCTCCCATGTCTCTCTGCTCCCCCTCCCCCCTTTCTCTCTCTCTCTCTCTCTTTCTCTCTCTCTTTTCTCTCTCTCTCTCTCTCTCTCTCTCTATCTCTCTCTATCTATCTCTCTATCTATCTATCTATCTATCTATCCTCTAATAGGAAAAGGAGAAGGAGAGAAAAATCCGAGAGCAGCTGGAGCATGATATGCAAACCAAAGACGAGCAATTGAATTCATTACTCAACAAACAAGCAGAGGTACGTTTAGCATCAGTAAATCACTGACTCTACAGGCCTGTCTTCATCAGCTCAAGTTTGCCAAATAACCCACTATTTCAACTATCCAGATCGCAAATTAGCCAGTTAATTTGCGTCTTCATCAGCCCGCAGTTGCAAATAGGGGGTTATTTGTTTGAGAAAATATCCGAGAAATCTTGGTCTTGTTTCCAAAATATCCTGCCACTTGGGATATAGCGGGCTAATTTGTGCCCGTTTGAGTTTGTCTGTGATGAGCATCTCGGTCTGGTGAAGGCGCAATTTCGAGCTTCGGGATAATATCCTGAGTCTGAAAATAGTGGGTTATTTGGCAAACTTGAGCTGATGAAGCTGATGAAGGCATGCCTTCTCAGGTTCCATAGAGGGGACCCATCAGGCATTCTTGTTTGTCTTCTCATTGTCTTGCTGAGGTTGCATGTTTTTGACGTTTAAAATATCAGCCTCAAATATTGTTCCTTCATAGTGATATTTCTAAATAAAAGACAAAAAAAAATCATACCAAATAAAAGGGGTATGAGAATAGAGGTGATGAATATGTAGATCTTTTTTAAAATTTCTTTTCATTTATGCTTTTTAATTATAAATATTTCAAATATTCCCCCTATTTTTGGTTGGGGGGGGGGGGAGAGATGGGAATCGAGAATGATATTACATTGAACATGTTTTATTCCTTTTTCTTTCCTGCTACCTTTAATGGTTATAATCTTTTATTATAAGCCAGGGTAATAAGTGTGATGGACATGAGCGCTATACAAGAACCCATTATCATTATTATTACCGGTATTATAACAAATAGATTTGTTTAAATGTAGGTGTGTCAAGGAAATAGATTTTTTTTAAATGTAGGTGTGTCAAGGAATTTAGTCAAATTATATTCCAACTATTGTATCACTTTTCATTTCTGATTGACTGATGTATGTAGCTGGAACAGAAGCTATATGAACTGAGTCTGACTGAGACGGAGGTCAAAGAAGAAAATGAGTCTCTTCAAGAGGTAAGTCTGCAATCAAGACTAATAAACTTCATATATGTGTCCAAAGAGTTGTTTGTGAACAACTCTCTCTCTCTTAAAGTGCCATATCGTTTGACTTTGGTGATCATGCTGTTCCACAACCCTCGGCTCCTAGCCTTCTGTATTAGTACCACTCCCAGTTCTTTCACTCCTCTCTCTTCCAACAATTTCTGCAGACTGTCCATCCAAAGTATCCTCTTTCTTCCCACAATTTTTCCTGTCAAAGCAAGATTTGATTCTCTAGGCCTTCTTTACGTGTAATTTGACCCATGAACTTCAACTGCCTAATCAACTCTGAACAACATGTTTATCAATAGTCCAGGGGAATGTGTCACAAAGATCCTAAGTTGAACTTATATCTCTTAGTTGGATTTAAAAATTATGGAAAACTGTTTTGTAAAAGTTATTTTAAAGGGCATAAAATGTTGATTCAAATCTTTCATATTTTCTATTATCAAGGAGATTTCATGTTCTTGATATGGAATTTATGAAAAGTCTAAAATACTTGAATTTTCGCTTTTGAATATATTTTATTTTAAGGCTGTAAACGGCTCTCCATAGTAATTAAGTCTAACTTAGAGTTGAATTGACTTAGGATCTTTGGGAGACACCCCCATGTCATAAAGATATCTAAATGAACATGTGCTATTTACCTTGGAGCCTAGTAGTTATAAATTGATTTGTACCAAAATACTTGTTTAGCTTGTTTAAAGGGTTAGGCTCTACTGGTAAATGTCTTCTTATCTGGCTCCTTTTGTCTCGCCTGCGTAGCAAAAAAGCGAGACATAGGCGCCGCTTTTCTGGTGACGGCTGCGTCAACATCAAAAACTTAACCTTAGGTTAAGTTTTTGATGTAATTTTGAAAGTATAAGTTCTTAGTCAATGAAACTTAGACTATAGGTTTATCAAGTATTCCCAATCATGTGAGTAGAATTTCAGGTCACAAAGTCAAGGTCAAAGGTCATTTCAGGTCAACAGACTTGGACTATGTTGTGGCATCATCATCGAAAACTTAACCTAAGGTTAAGTTTTTGAATTTGTTATATAATTTTGAAATTTTAAGTTCTTAGTTAATGTAACTTGAAATATAGGGTTATCAAGTATCCTAATCATGTGAGTAGTATTTCAGGTCACTAAGTTAAGGTAAAAGGTCATTTTAGGTCAACAAACTTAGACTTTGTTGTGGCATCAACATCAAGATTTTGAATTTTTTAGCATATTTTCAAAATTGATTGTTCAATGTATATATATGTAAAGACATTGTATGGAATGTATTACAGTATTGCTGTTGGTAAATCAAATCAAATCCAATCCAATCAAACTACATGTATTGCTTCATGCATTATAGAGCATTGCATTTCAATAAGCACAATGCAGATTGTATACTTGGGTTATTGTAGTTGTTGCTAGTCGACCTGTTTCTGACCAGATTTAAGATTATCACTATTTAAGTTGGGTAATTGGACCTGCAACGCACATCTGTTTCACACAAAATTTCAGGATTTGGGACCAATTTTATTGTTTCTTATCCTTATAATAATAGTCAAAACAGTCACATTTGTAAGCGCTTATCATGCTCCGCTCACCGGGGAATATTCAGGCCTTGCGCCATTTTACAAGCACACACATGTCTACATGTTAAACCACATTAAACTTCTCATACCCATTTAACACCTGGGTGGAGAGTGGCAAATGTAGATTAATGTCTTGCCAAAGGACGTTAGTACTGCCGCGGGACTCAAAGCATAACACATACACATACAATCCACAGTCTGGTGATGTTTCCACTAGACCAGAACACCTCCCCTTTAAAAGATAAATTATCAAAATTATCCTTATTAGTCAAAAATTGGATTGGTTCTTTAAGAGATGAATTTTCTTGTTTGTTTTTTTTTTTGCAGCAAAATGAACATTTATCCATGAAGCTTGATTCCTCTCAGACTGAGCTTGTAGAATCCAAGACATACCTCAAAGAAATGAATGAAAAACACTTGAAAGATAAGAGAGAAAGAGTCAAGTAAGTATATTTGTCTTTCTATTTTCATTATTTCTTTTTTTCCTTCTATATGTACATGTATGTATTGCTCTGTCTCTGTTTTAACTGTGATATATTTGTCCTTCATTTTGAGTCTTGCCTCTTGTCTTTGTGTTTTATTTGAGTTTTATTTGAACAACTAAATTGTTCATACCTCTTGTAAATTTGTTGTTAGAATGAAAGATGGATTGGTAAAATAAGAACAATTGTTGAATATGTTTGCTATTATGTCACATTTTCAAGAAACACAAATCGGGACTTCATTTTCTCACATACTTGAAAAATTGCAGAAATTGTTATTAGGGTATGAATAACTTAGTAGTTAAATGTACATGTATATAGCTTCTTTTCTACTTTTTTAAACTGACTAGTGTTTACTTTTCAATAATATGTTATTTACCACGTGGTACAGTAATGATAATAATGATATGCCATACTCTAATATATAGCGCATAAAGAGGAGTGCTATACGCAACGTATACAAATAAAGTGCGTTGCACTGTGTAGATAGTACTTCTATCTTCAGTGAAAGTGCAATGCAATGTGTAGATAGTACTACTATCTATGATGGGCGAACTATCTTTCATGGGCGAACTATCTTTCATCACATTATTTACTTTTGACCAATCGTAGAGCAAGATTCTTAGTACATGTATGTGGATTATAATAGTTGATATCTATAACATGTAAAACCCATAGCTAGGTTTTTGGTTCAAGTTTGGGAGGGGGAGGGCCTGATTTACCAAATTATACTACCCCCCCCCCCCCCTCAAAAAAAAGTATAGGTGCACTGACTTTTATTTTCTGTTATTGCAATTACATTCTCTCAAATTTAATATGTCCCTATTCTCTGTAATGGGGAAGTATGTACAAGGAAACTGTACGCAATATTAACCACACAGGTATATGTTATGGGAAAGTATGCCATTCCTGATGGTAATGTATGAATAGTATTGATTTATTGAGCTGGGTTTAGTCTGCACATGTGAGCCGTATTCAAGGCTCAGCTCACACCTATAGTGTAGTTTATGATACAGATTCATAATGAACTTTCTAGACTGCTGGGTCAAGTATACAATAGGGTCATGCAGAATGCCATTGATTGCCATGAGTACTATTCAAATATCTGAGATGGTTATTTGAAAACTGTTATATATTTTATGCTAGTGAAAGGTAGTTCATTGTCATTGGAAAAGAAGTTCTAGATACATGTAGATGGCATATTAGAAATGCCTATTAGTTTTATTACTATCGTCAATATCATTATGAAAAATCTGAATTGGGACAAATCATTGGTAAAAGTCTAGATCGTGGCATATGTGGTAACATACACATATTAGAGACAGCAATGCAAGCATCAATAATTAATGTACACTTCAGAACTAAGTATTCATACCCTTACCAAGTTATGTCATTTTTGTGAAAAAGTTTGTGAAAAAATCTTTTCTCCCAATTTATGTTTCTGAAGAATGTGACATATTAAAGCTTGAATCTAAAAGTATTCAAACACAGGCCCTAATACAACCAGTTCTCCTTTCACGCTTGAGTCACGAAAAACACAATAACTACATGTATCATATTGCAAGGGATATGAATGATTTAGTAGTTTACTCTATATTCTACATCGTTTATTTTTGCACATTTCACTATTGACTTTGCCCCACTTTCGGGTATACTGCATAGTCCATGATTACATAATCATTACAAATGGGGCATTATTGTGAAGGTGATAACCATGCTTTTCAATGAAACCAACATCAAATATGATAATGTAGTAATAGATATCAACATACAAATTTCAAACTTTTTTTCAGGAGTACTGTTTCCCTTGTTATAATATCATAATCCTGCTTGTACTGTTTTTATTACAGGAGCAATGTTAAGATAGCACAGGGAATCATGCAGGAAAGAGAGAGTTTATCTGTACAACTGGAGAAATTAAAGTAAGTAAAAGTAAAAAAGAAAAAAAAGGATATTTTATTGAATAGTAACCCATTGTAGATGATAACATTTTCCTTTAGCAAGTTCTCTCCTTTGATATAACTTGAGCTGTTCAATGGGCCGATATTTGATCAAAGTTTGAAGTACCGATAGTTTGTAGTTTCACATTTGTTAAATTAAAGATAAGAATGAATACTCATGGCTCTGAATGCGATGCCAATGCAATAAATGCAGGTTAATTTATCATACAGTGCTTTGATAGAGCACATTTTGTTTAAAAAGCCGGTTGGCAATTGCTCACTGCATTATAAACTATCAGTTTAATGCAACTCTGAAAATCAAACACAAGTCCTAAAAATCAATAGTTGCGTGTGATTTCAAACGCAACTTTCAAGCGCATTTTTTCCAGATCAAATGCAATTTTATAATAGATGTATGACCGAAAGCGAAGTTGCGCTTGAAATTCAAACGCAACTCTCTTTGCATTGCGCAGTTGCGTTTGATTGCACGTTGCGTTTGATTGCAAGTTGCGTTTGATATTTGCGTTTGATCTGAATTGCGATCAATCACAAGTTGACTTAATCTTGCATAAAACCAAATTGGTCTCAGGCCACCCCATTGTTGCAGGAACTACACTGGCTCCCAGTTGCTGATAGAATACAATACCGGATACTTGTTCAAACTTTCAAATCTATGTCGACCACCCTTCCTGTACACGCGATTCTGTCACAGTTAAATAACTTTTGGCTATATCAAAGCAGTCATTTCTAATGTTGTTAGAGCACTTGTGCTCTCCAGGCTTGACTATGGTGGATGCTTACTTGGGGGTATAAGTAAGAAGGACCTGAGCAGACTTCAACGTCTGCAAAACAAATGTGCCCGTCTAATCTATCAAAAACCAAAATGGTCTCACGCCACCCCATTGTTGCAGGAACTACACCGGCTCCCAGTTGCTGATAAAATACAATACCGGATACTTGTTCAAACTTTCAAAACTATGTCAACCACCCTTCCTGTATACATTTCCTCACTTTTTCAGCAACAGAGAACATCCTATTCTCTTAGGTCTTCATCAGCTCCTACCTTTGTCATTCCCAAATCCTGTAAACAGACTGGTTTCAAATTCTTTCACTCCTTAGCCCCACGTCTCTGGAACAAACTCCCCTCTTTCTTAAGTAACAGTACTTCACTAGATTTCTTCAAAAAACATCTGAAAACTTACCTGTACAACTCCTCTTAAATTGTCGAAAGTCTAGGAGAGCAGCGCCTTGTAACCTTTGAAAAAGGCGCTATATAAATCAAATTTTTATTTTACTGATTAAAATCTTTCTGATGGGCGTGTTGAGCAAAGCACTCATTTTTGTTTTCCTCTCTTCACACAGGGCAATGAATCAGCAGCTACAGGACGACAGAGATATGAGGTTGAGCAGATCGGTGAGTTCAGTCTTCCAAGATTCATGATGATGAGAATAATAATAATAGTGGGAGTGTCGTGGTCGAATGGTTTAAGGCGCTTGACTGTAGATGCTAAGGTCGATGGTTCAAATCCCGACACAGCACTAATATCCTTTGGCAAGATATTTACCTGCACTGGCTACTCTCCACCCAGGTGTTAAATGGGTACCCGGTAGGATGCGAATGTTCATGTGGTTGAACGAGCAAGTGTGCGCCTGTAAAATGGCGACTGGCTGGAATGCTCCCCAGGGAGTGGAAAATGTGCACACATTGTGTGCGGGTAAGCCTGAATCCGATGACCGGGGTAATAATATATCTGTAAAGCGCTTAGGCACATCATTGGATCGGTGTATTGAGCGCTATATAAAAAAAACAGATTATAATTATTATAATAGTGGTCATTTTTGTTCTCGTTTATTTCCATTTCCAACAAAATAAAATAAAGTACATGGGATTGCATTGTACATAGTAAAACAATGAAACTTAACAATATATTTGTAATTGGTCCACAGTGAACAACAGGCATATAAAACAGGTTGGTCGTGATTCAGATGTACATGTATGCTACAATATACACAAGAAGTACCATAGTGGCTACAGTCTATACAGCATTACACAAATTAAAGAAATTAGCTATGTGGAAGAAGAAGGTGGGGACCTTGTTTGATTTCGTTTTTTTTAATTGACTTGATCTCGTTAGAAATGAGACATAGTAAAGAATTAGACTGAGATACATGTATCTGGGAATGCATTATGAGTCCACACTCATGTAGTCCTAAATTGTTTACTTGAATCTCTCTCCCTATCTTTTCATGTTTCCTATATTTCATTTTCGTTTCTGTAATCCTTCTCTTACGCTTCTTATCTCTCTCTTTCTCTCTCTCTCTCTCTCTCTTTCTCTCTCTTCTCTCTTTCTCTCTCTCTCTCTTTCTCTCCTCTCGCTCTCTCTCTCTATTATTTCACTGATTTTCCTTTCATGCTCTGATTTCATTCTCTCGTTCTTATTCCATCTTTCTGTCTTTGTCTCTTTCTTGATCTCATTCTTCTTTTTATCTCACTACTTCCCTCTCCCTGCCCTCCTCTCCTCTCTCGTTCTTCTCCTTTTTCTCTCATCTTATGTTCTTTCTTCCTCGCTTCTCCTTTTCTCTCCCTGTTTCTCTGTCCTTTTTCTCTCTCTCTCTTTCTCTCAAACCTCTTTTCTCTCCATCCTTTCTTTACTCTCTTCCCTTTTTGCCCTTTTACGCTCCGTCCTTTTTGCTCTTTTACTCTCTCTTTTTCTCTTCTCTCTTGAGTCTTCCCTCTTCTTTCTTTTCTCTCCCCTCATCTTATGTTCTCTTCTCTATCTTCACTCTTTTTACCTCTCTTCTTTCCTTCCTTCCTTCATCTCTCTCCCCTTCTTGCCCTTTTACTCTTCTCTCTCTTTCTCTTCCCTCTTGAGTCTTCCCTCTTCTTTCTTTTTCTCTTCCCTCCGTTATCTTCTCGTCTCTTTCTTCTCTTTCTTCTCTTTCTTCTCTCTTTCTTCTCTTTCTTCTCTTTCTTCTCTCTTCTTTCCTTTTCTCTCCCCTCCGTTATCTTCTCCTCGCTTTCTTCTCTCTTTCTTCTCTTTCTTCTCTCTTCCTTCTCTTCTCTCTTCCTTCATTCCTTCTTTTGCTCTATCAGTTATCTGACCCATCAGAGGATGAAAAGAAGAAGACCCTTGTCAAGCAAGGTTCCATCATGTCTAATTACTTTGAAGAGGGAGTTATCGGGTAAGTATCACCTTCATGGTCTAAAGGAGATGTGCTCATACTCTCAAAACAAAAGTATATCGTCTGTTTGGAGCCAAAATGGCATTAACTCGTATTTACACAGACACTATGAACATGACAGACAATGAAAGCGGACAAAATATACAGTTCCTCAGGTAAACAAAGGGACATCCCTTCACTGCTATTATCTAAAAATGTGTAGAACAGGTGTCACATGCATATTCACCTGTTCTACACATTTTTACATAATAGCAGTGAAGGGATGTTCCTTTGTCTACCTGAGGAACTGTATATTTTGTCCGCTTTCATTGTCTGTCATGTTCATAGTGAGAGTTAACACCCTTCTGACTCCAGGGGGGTGTTTCACAAAGATCCTAAGTCGAACCTAACTCTAAATTGGACTTAAAAATTATGGAGAGCCATTTGTAGCCTTAAAATTAAATATTTCCAAAATCAAAAATTGAAGTATTTTAGACTTTTCATAATTCCCACATCAAGAACATGAAATCTCCTTGATAATAGAAAATATGAATGATTTGAATCAACATTGTATGCCTTTTGAAATAACTTTTACAACTTTTGTTCAATGATGCTATCAGCTTTCCATAATTTTTATGTCCAACTTGGAGATAAGTTCAACTTAGGATCTTTGTGAAACACCCCCTGATGATATGTATCCGAATGTGTGACATTGACTAGTTCAGTTCATTTCAATTTATTATGGGACGACATAGATTTAGTCGCTAGAGGAATAGCCCAATCTTGCACCTCCCAATAGTTGCATGCAATATATATATTCTCAAATCAAAATAAAAGTAGTTTATGAGAGGCAGAATGTTTAGATTTCAGTGAATTAGGCTGGGAATATTCCATGGTTGGATTTCTTTGTATTGCATGTACCCATTCCATACAACATATTGTATACACATGATGTATTACATAAAATAAATTTAGTTAGTGATTGGTTAATGCTGATGTTTATTATCAGAAAATACTTTTTAAAATGTTGTGGGATGTGTCGGATATATATTTTTCAATATTTATGTTTCAATTTGGCTTTAAGTTTTGAGATTCTTTATACAAATTGCATTTATTTGTGTATTTGCATTACTGCACTCTTCGGCCTTGTATTCGTGTGTTTATATTTTCACTCCAAATCTTGTGCGTATATTCTCTGTTTCATGTACAGTACATTCATAAATTTAGTATTCCATCATGACACTCAAAGTATAATATTAAAAATGCAAAGTGAAAATTATGAAGTTATAGACAGGAACTGTTAAAAAAAAATGGAGGGATGGCAAATACTTGTATCTGGGCACTAACTTTTATGCTGGGGTTTATTTTCAGAAAAAATTTTAAACACTTGTTAACTTGTGAAATTTATGGGATCACAATAAATGTTTGTTTTGGAACAGATATTTAAACATATACTCGCATGCAGCAAACCTTTTAATCAGTCTATTTATTATGTTTCTGTAACAATCTTTTTGTCATAAATGGTATAAGGCAGTTTTTGTAATCTTCTCATTTTAATATTCCATTATCAAACCAATTCAATAATACAGGGCCTTTGGATGCGTGCATATATACATAAATGCAATTTCTTTTATGCCTAGTTCCTTCAAGTATTCTCTCATCTAATGTAGGTTATATGTCTGAGCTGGTGTTGTGCATGTTATATCTATCTGTTAGCGGGCAATTGATGGTTTCAAATTCTATCTCTTTGTCTTTATTCCTTTTTGTCTCTGTCTATAAACTTCTCTCCCATCCCGCATCTAAATTCTGTCTGTGTATCTCTTTCTTCCTTTCATCTCAATTGATCTGTCTTTCAATATATATCTATCCACCCCCCCCCCACATTTCTCTCTCTCTCTCTCTCTCTCTCTCTCTCTCTTTTCCGTTTCTTGTCATCTTATTTCTTCATTCTTTCTATATCATTCTCCCGCCCTCTATGCCCTTCTTTTCCCTGTCTCTCTTGATCTTTCTCTATTTACATTTGTGTTATTCCTCTTTCTATATTTTCCATTTCACATCTCGTATACTCTTTAATTTTCACCTCTCCTCTCTTGACCCTTCTCTCTCTCTCTCTCTCTCTCTTTCTTTCTTGCTCTCTCTCTCCTCTTTATCTATCTTATATCTCTCACTCACCCCCCCCCCTTCCCATCTCTATCTCTCCCTCTCTCTATCTATATATTTCTCACTCTCCCTCTTTCTCTCCCTCTCCCTTTATCTATCTTTATTTCTCACCCGACCCCCCCCCCCTCCCCGCTTCTCTCTCATTCTCTCTTTCTCCCTCTTCCCTCTCTCTCTCTCTCTTCCCTCTCTCTATCTCTCTCTCTCTCTCTTAAATCTCTTACCCCCACCCCCTTTTCTGTAACTCCCCCTACCTCTCACTCACTCCCTCTCTCTCTCTCTCTTTCTCTCCCTCTCTCTATCTTTATATTTCTCTCTCTCCTCTCTATCTCTCTATCTCTCTATCTATCTCTCTGTCTCTCTCCCTCTCTCTCTCTCTATCTCTCTATCTCTCTCTCTCCTCTCTATCTCTCTATCTATCTCTCTATCTCTCGCTCTCTCTATCTCTATCTCTATCTCTCTATCTCTCTCCATCTTGTTCAAACCATCCTAGGGATCCTCCATCGGATCATAATTCCTCCCTTCCCTCCATCCATGATCCTTCCTGCATCGACCAATCAAACATGTCAGGTGACTATCATGTAGCTAAACAGTGGTTCTTGACCTTTGACCTTATCTGACCTTCCTTGTAAGTGCAGTGACCCCCTCGTGGCAAGTCTCGGTCAATGTTGCCCCCTGTCATTCAATAGTACATAAAACATCTAAATTGAATGTACATTTGAATCAAAATTAATTAAAATTTAAATCAATTTAACAGAAATTATTTGAATTGAAATGAAAATGATTTAATTTCAATGGAAACTAAATAAATGTTAATCGAATTGAAAGGAATAGAATTGAATTGAATGGCATTGTTATTAGATTGATTGAGGGGTATAAAAATAGAAGACACAGAAAGGGTTTTGTTTCACTCATGTCGATCCCCTTCATATATTTCCCCAATAAAAAAATTTGGAAAGAAAAATGAAAGCCAGGTTAAGAACCACTGTAGTAGAAGTAGTAGAAGAATTAGTAGCAGAAGTTGGTTCTATGGGATTCTTGCCAATTTATCGGTGTGATGGGAGATTACTAAATTGAAATTTAAAGCCGTTTTCTCCAGATATATTTTGTACAAAATTTGTTTTATGATGAAAATAGACTGGTCTACTAACATATTCAAATTGCATGCTTACTTTATAAATAAATGACTGACATAGCAACAAGTAATACTGGATTCCAAGTATTGCAGTTCATTCATTGATAACAGGTTAAAGATAAACTTGAGTTCTGGTAAAAAAAGAAAATGAATTCTCACAGAATCTAACAAAACTTACACTGAATGTTCAAGATTACAAATAAATGTCATGTGCCAAACAATTTTGGAAGAAAATGTATACTGGCTGAGTAATGAGCATAGAAAGATAAGGAAATCAGGGTAGTACTAGCCCCGACACCATGTGTGTTGTCCCATATACATCTTTCCATGTAAGTGATTGTTACTTTACCAAGACTCTGCCAAATTTATGATGATTTTGATGACTCCAGAACCTTGCATTACACACCATTACTTACATGCTATATGATCAACTTTTCTGATCCATTCCACACCTTTTCTTTCACAATGCAATCGCATTACCAGAACTCAAGTTTATCTTTAATGGAATAACTCCTCACTAGGTCCCCAGGAAAGAAAAATTCATAAACTTGAATATGTTGGTATCAAAATCGGTCTTTTTTTTACTGTTTTAGCTACCTCATGATATATATACTGTATAAACCAGTTTGTAACAAATGCTATAGGGTACCGAAGCTGTGACATCATAAAAATCTATTTTTAGAATTTCTCAATTTTTTCTTCATTTTCTAAAAGAGCATCAAAAATAATGTCAAAATGTCAAAAACCAATTGAATATGTTAAGTATTTGCTGAGATATGACCATCTGAATAAATATATGTCCTACATGTATGGGAACTCAGTGTTATAGTAGTCTGGTCCCTAATAAATAGTTTAAATTCTTTTTTAGAGATTTTTTTTAATGCACAATTTCACCACAAACGTATTAAAGATATAATTTATTAAAGTAGAGCCTTGAGATTAGCATTACCACACCTACATACATATACATTTGTTTGCATTTGTTTGTACATACACCCCTGTATGTGTTCATTTTAAAGTGTGATTATTAACATAGAAACTTTGATTAGAGATTTGTAATAAAATCAACCGTGTACCTTCCAGAATACTTCATGATATATTCCATGATCTGTGTAGATGCAGGTGTGTTTAGCTTTGAGGAGTGGCAGGTTAGGTAAACTGTAGCTAGATATTTATCATCAATATTATTTGAAAGCTTAGCAATTTAGCATATCTTAAATACCTTTAAAGATAGAGTGAAAAGGTCAGTTAGTTGTTGCTAGTTAGAAAACTCAGTTCATTTTTACACCTACATATATGTCATTGTTTTCAATAGTGTTCAAGTCATGTATGAGTAATATCAATATTCAAAGTTTATCATATTTAAAAAAATATTTGCACTGTTAAACTTTAGGAGATTATTATTGAACATTTGTTAAGCAATGGGTATTGTTCTTTCAAAGATGTTCTGAGCAAATTAAAAGGTCATTTACATTATTTTGGTAGTTAAGATATAAACTAGATTTCAAAGAGAATTTAGATACAAATTGACATGTGTTCTACAGATTTTGATTGAAAAATGTCAAGTACTTAGTTACAGTCCTCTTTAAATGAAATACATGTCCTAGCAATTGGTACAATACCATGATTAATGCACTGTAAAATGGAATTTAAGATCACTCTCCAAAACGATGTTCATCTTTTTCTTTGCCAATTAACCTTAGGGGGGACGGAGGAGAGCACATAGTAGGGAGTAGTTCTCTAGACGGGGGTAGATCTAGTCGTAGGAGTAGTCGTCACAGTGTCCAGCGTCCCAGCATACACGGTCGAACCTTCTCAAGGGACCTCGCCCATCATCTCCAGCTCAGTCAAAGCTTCATGTACGATGATGACGGGGAGTGTGAGGTCGACGATGCCTTCCTGGAGAGCAGCGGGTTGCTGTCATCGGGGCTGACGTCGCACACGGAGAGGGTCGTCTATGATGAGGTGGAAGAGGATGAGTTTGATGGAGGGAGTGAGGTCGTCAGGAGGAGATCGGTTGATAGGGCGTCGGCCAGTAGGGCGTCGACCGATAGGGCGTCGGCAGGTGACAAGAGAAAGGCTTTCAATAGGCAGGTGGTCGGAGAAACCAAGTCCAGTCCGTAAGTACATGCATCACCTATGAAATCCTGTCTGCACTAGTTTGGCCGGGAGGGATTAGACCACCCAGCGTGGTCACTCACAGGTCGTTATCTCATCAACTCAGCTCCCAATTAACATATTAAGAAAAAGAGGATCATTGGGGACCAACATGCACCGCTTACGCATTGTTTTTTTTATATACCGGTAAAGGGAGCAAATAGCTACAAGTAGTGCAGTGGGGCTTTAAAGTCACAAAATGTTTCTTTATTTGAGTAACATGAGTTACAGTCAAACCTGCTTTAGTTACCACGTGTATAGAGAGACCACATTTTTTGTTTCCCTTAAAGTCAGTAGTCAAGGAGTTAATCATAGCTCTCTATGCACTAATATATCATAGGATTACAAAAAGCAGTGACAAATCTGCTGATAACCAATCAGAAGCAAGGATTTCAGTAGCTTATAACAAAAACTGTCATTTGTCACTGATGACAAGTTTTGTGAAACGCCCCCCAGAACTGTTAATTTAAGACTCAAGTATGATTTTTTTGAGTCTCGTATATGTAGGTCTGCAAAATGCCTCCATATTTGAGTATTTTTTAAATTTTGGAGATTGGGTTACCCCTTTCCAAAAACAATCTGCTTCTTCTTCTTGGGGTTAAGTCTACCTCCTTCACAGTTGAAGACTTGCAGACTGATTCTTGCAGTGTGTACGTGTGTGCTTTCTATCCATCCAAACAGCCTTCTCAATTATGATGTTCTCTTTCAGTATTGAGCGTAGCGAGCCCACACCAAGCAGTAGTCCAGAGGGCCAGAGAGCTGAACCAGTAGGAGCTCATACACCCATAGACCAGGCTATAGCTGAAGCCAAGAAGGTATGTCTCACTACAGATGTGCACTGTTTAAAGTAACCTGTCATTACAGAATTTTAGATTGAGTGGACGAGAACAGCGTCAAGTCCACTGATCATGCGTTTTAACGTAGTTATACACTTGCCTGGACTACAGATAGAAATCTTTTAGATTTTACTTGACGATATACGTCCACAGGAAGTAAGCGTGATGCTAAGTCATGAACGGCGCGCCAAATTTCAAAGGAGATTCCGCACTCCCCCAAATGCAAAAAAAGTCACCAGCCGGCTGGGCGGTGCGAAGGTGAAGCTCATGCACACTGCCACTAGCTATAAACCTTTCTACGGATGCTATAACATACCAATCAAACTTTCACAATTCATGACAAAAGAATTTTAATTAGAATAAAGAGAAGTGTACAGTACTTCAAAACTTACTTCAGTTTCTTGAAAACTGTTGTTGCTCAAGGTTTTAAGAATATGGGTCCTGATTTGTACTGAACGGGTTTTAGCTGATGAAGAGATGATTGAATTGTTTGTGTTTGATTGTAAGTTACAGCTGGTAGCAGCGAACCGAACCCCAGAGAGACTGTATAAGGTGGTGTTTGTAGGAGACTCTGGAGTAGGGAAGACGAGCATCATTCATAGGTTCTGTACAGACACATTCACAGACTCATTCAGTGCTACAATAGGTGAGTAGTGCTCTCTCTCTCTCTCTCTCCGTCTCCCTCCCTCTTTCTCTCTCCGTCTCCCTCCCTCTTTATCCGTCCGTCTCTCTCTCTCTCTCTCTCTCTCTCTGTCACACACACACACACACATATATACTTTGCTAGCGCACTTTATTTCTCTACTTGACTTATAATAATAATAATTGTAATAATCTTGTTTAGCACTCATATCTGTCAGACTTGACACTCCTGGCTAGTTGTATCTGTGTCTGGTTTCTTCCCCTCTCTCTCTCTTTCTTTTCTCTATTTTCTCTCTTTCTCTCTCTCTCTGCATCGCTATCTCTTCCTTTATCTATTTTTCTCCTTACCAAATCTCTGAAATATTATAGTGGCTTGCTTCGCCAAATATTGCTCCAGGTCAATTTGAAATGCCAACCAAAGTTTACCTAACGAACCAAGCAATGACGAGCCTAACCCAAATCCTAAATATTTACAGTTACCAACTAAATCATAATACCCCTTGAGGATAGGTGGACTGGTTGAATTAAGGTCTTTGTTTAATACTTTTAAATGTAAGCCTTAATATGTCACATTCTCAAGAAACATAAATTTGGACGATTATATTTTTTACCTACTTAAAATAGTATGAAACTTTAAAAGGGTATGAATAATTTAGGTGGTAGCTGTGTATAATTTAAGCCTAGAACACTAGGCCCCACTCACAAGCATTGCTTTTTGGGGTCTCAATTTGGATCATGTTTGTTCGTCATGATTGCTATGCCATGTGTTTTTTAATAAACAGAACTGAACTGAGTTGTTGTTGTTATGTTTTATCTCTCTCTCTTTCTCTACCTCTCTCTTTCTCTACCTCTCTCTCTCTCTCTCTCTCTCTCTTTCTCTCTCTCTCTCTCTCTCTCTCTCTCTGCTCTCCCCCTATTAACAGGTGTTGACTTTCAGGTGAAGTCTCTCTCAGTGTGTGGTAGCATCGTAGCCATGCAGCTCTGGGACACGGCCGGTCAGGAGAGATTCAGATCCATCACAAGGCATTACTTCAGGAAGGCTGATGGGATTGTGATTCTCTATGATGTCACATCAGAAACATCTTTTCTCAATATCAGAAACTGGATGAACAGTATCGAGGTAAATGCCCAATGTGAAAGATCTTAAAAGAAATAAGAACAATGTAAACGATATGTTGATTTTATCATTATTTGGTCTTAGACATTACGGTTGTCAAGAATAAACTTTAGTGGTATAATAATGTTTTTCCTTTAAAGGTATTAGGTAACTTTGCCTCTGATTCTTAAACAAAATCCTTGATTTAGATCATGATGCAATCATACTTATAAACCTTTAGGTCAGAATGAATCTCCATCATGATGACTTTTACAAGCTAATCGCATGTTTGATTATCAAGATATTTATGATGGCATGGAATTCAAAAGTTTAGAAACCGTTTTCCCAACAGTTTTTTATAACAACCATATCACAGACACTGATAGCACGTAGGGCCATGCATCTCAGAATTGTAAAACTTGAAACGTTGTTTTAAAAACAATGCCTTTAACAACCACTATTTAAATATAAAAGTTTGATTTGCATTGATATTGAAGTTCCATTGATACGTTTCATTTGTGTTCGTATATTAATGGTGGTGATTTGTACATTTATGATACCTCATACGGAGTACTTTAAACAGTAGTTGTACCCCCCCCCCATGTTATTTTATTCCTCTCTATGTAAATGTATATTTGAAACTCAAAAAGATATAAATTGAGATGAAAATGAAGAAAACTGATTGAGTGTTTCTATCTTGCAGGAGACTACAGATGGTCATGTGGTGAAGATGTTGCTAGGCAACAAGTGTGACTGTACGGAGGATAGACAGATCAAAGAGGAAGTGGGTCATAGCTTGTCAGAGGTAAGCCCTTGGGATGTATGACCTGGATGGCTGGCTGGAGTTGATCGATTCCTTAAACTGTCTGAAAACAGTGCAGGAACATCTGATGCTGTGTCTTTACATGCCTCCGCCCACTGGTTGTCTGTCCCGCTTTCTCATTATCCCAATATCTCAAGAACCACTAGGGATATGAGGCTCAAACTTGGTGATAGCATGAATCAACATAGGAAGATGAACTGATAAGATTTTAGATACATAGGTCAAAGGTCACAGAGGTCAATTTCTTAAGCTTAAGGTTTTAGCATTGCTATTGCGATATATTAAGAACCACTAGAGATATGGGGTTCAAACCTGATGATAGTATGTATCAACATAGGAAGATAGTCTCATAAGATTTAAGGTAAGTAGGTCAAAGGTCACAGAGTTAAATTTCTGAAATTAAAGGTTTTTAGCTTTGCTGTCTCAATATCCAAACATGGTGGCAGTATTACTTTAGAAAGATGGTCCAATTACATTTTGAGGCTAGTAGGTCAAGATCATAGTTGTCAGTTGGCATTTAATTATAGACTTTTTGTTTGCATCGTGATATGTCATGAATAATTTAGGGCGGAGGCATATAGGAGATGCAGTCGTATTTGTCTCGTCTATTTGTTATCTTTTTTCTAGTAGGCTCAGGTCTGCTTTTAAATCTAGTTGCTTTTGTGTCGTGCAAGGTGATATTCTACTTTAGATGATGTTTTAACAAACTCCAGCCAAGAAACCAGAATTTATCCCATGTGTTCTAGAAGTATTTTTAGACATTGAAAAATCTGCCCGAAACACTTATAATAAATGAAAGTCATGTTGTACTATCATTATTCTATTTGGGGTCCTCAGTAGATTTCAAGTGAAGTACATTCTACTAGCACATGTACATTGTACTTCAAAGATAGAGAAATGACGAATTCAAGATTCTTTTAGCACTTTGTTTGACTATGTACATATTTTAGCTGTCGTATATATTTTTTTCTCTCTCTCCTTCTTCAGTCCTATAAATGTGACTTCTACGAAGTGAGTGCTAAATCCGGCTCTAATGTGACTGAGGCATTCACTTCTATGTCCAAGCTCTTATTACTCAAAGAAGATGAAGAGATCCAGAACTCACTCAACCTCACAAATGATGATGGAGAGGGGAGCAAGCGATGCTGTGAGTCGTCTTAGAATCATGCCTCTTGGAAGAGTCTTTGGAAGATTTGACTGCGGATGCTGTTCTCACTACCGGTACTTCAAGAAGAGCGTTTAAAATAGTCGTGATGTAACTGATGGAGAAGGAAGGAAGCGATGCTGCGAGACGTCTTAGAATTGTGCCTCTTGGAATAATTGGAATAGCCATGTCATCCAATAATTGAGAGAGTCTTTGTGAGGTGTGACGGTGGCTGCTGTTCTCACTATTTCAAGAAGAGCGTTTTAATAATAATAGTAATAATAGTGGGTTCTTGTGTAGCGCTCATGTCATTGGATTGCTAATGGATTGTCGTGATGTAACTGATGGAGAAAGAAGGAAATGATGCTGCGAGTCATCTTAGAATCATGTTTCTGCTTGGTTGATTGGTATAAAAGTGAGGAGTCTTTGTGAGATTTACGTCAGAACGTGTTCACACTCAAAAATAAGGAAAGCTTTAAGCAGACTGTTGTGCTGATATACTTATGGAGATGTATGGAGATGTAAAGGAACAACATAGAATGATGGTTGTGCATGATATAATCATGAAGGGTCTTTGTGAGGATAGATGCCCTTCTCATGTCCAGGACCCCGTCTTATAAAGATTTGATATTAATCAGCACTTATTTGCGAAACTATTTACATAAAGACTGCAAACTTGCGATTGATTAGAGGACTTGCCATTGGTTTGGATCAATCACATCTCTTTATACCAGGGGGCTCGGGACTGAATTTCTGGTTTCTTCATTAATTTGGTTCATAGACAAATACTATTACATATTTCATATAACAAAGTTCCACTAAAGCGTTCAGTTGCATGTTCCAAAGTTAGATGTAGCCGGCAGAGAGAGTGTTAAAGTCACTTTAAAGACATGCACAGTTTTATGTGCGAACCCTTTGACTACTGAATTCTCTCAATCCCATAGACTTTAATACAGGAGCCGTCTGGTTCCAGCAGTCAATGTGTTAAGATAAGGATTAGATCATTTAAACATATTTGTTGCTTACACCCAGTAAATAAGATTGATTGATCGATCTGTATTTTTTTTCAATACAGATCGATCAATCGATCTTATTTACTGGGTGTAAGCCACAAATATGTTTAAATAATTGAAATTTCTCCCAGGAAGCATTACATTTATATATAAAAGGATTAGATAATGTCAGAGACTGATGTCTCCTGATTATGTTTGATTACAATAATCATGTCATCCAATCAGAGAGTCTTATTTACTGCCAGGGTGTGCCTTCTCTATGTGGTTCATTCCGAGGGGTTAGTGTCACAAACACGTAACTCCATTTTGAGAAAAAGGTGGTTCATGTGTCATTGATCACTTAGGCCTTAAGTCTATGTTTCACTAGCTATTGACTTCAATAGGGTGTTGGATGGAGTTAAGTCTTTGTGTTTCCTGGAAAGCCCACATTTTTCTGAACATTTTGATATCAAATACTCATTTCAGCAAAATATGGAGTTACGTCTTTGTGTCACTGGACCTTGATTCAATATGAGGAAGAGACAGTGATTTACATTTCAAAGGTCTATTTCTGTCTCTGTAGTTGCATATCTTAATATATAATAGTTGGAGGTAGTGGAATATTATCATCCATTTGCATCAATAAGTGGTTTAGAAGCTACTCTGCCGGAATAGCAGATACTTAGAGTATATAATCTAGAGAAAATAAGGGAGTGTTGTTTGTCTCATTGGAAAGTCTGTTCAGTGAACTCTCTACAGTGCACTCAACCATTGCTCTTTCCTTTTTGGGGGAATAAATTTGTTGAGTAGAGACTGAGTGTTACAAACAGGGTTTTACATAGTTTCCTTGAATATTTTCCTTGAATATTTTTATCATGTAGTTATTATTGATGATAATATTATACTTGTGTATATTAGATACATGTGCATGTAGATGAGTGTTGTTGTAGCGTTTGTATTCATAAGTTGTGTTAGGGAGTTTGTTGTTTAAGCACTCGCGATGAAAAATCTTTCTTATTGCACTGCAGCATTTGCCATCAGACAATAAGCCCTAACATAAGCTGTAGAACAGTCCTATTTTTCTGATTATCTGTAATGTATTATTATATTTATATATACATTTTTTAATTATATTGATATTATTCGCTTCTTGTTTACAAGCCTTATGAAAGATTAAGTGTCCTTGCTTCTATAAGAATCCATTTGTATTACATGCTGAAATTGTATGCATGTTTTGTGTTCAAAATGTGCTCTTGCCAACCTCAAAAGCTTGTCACAGGTATTCTGACATAACAGTTGTTTTAGAATTGTGTACAAAACTGGTCTCTTCCAGAGTTTATGGCCTGTAACCTCTTTTCTCATTGTTTTTTTTAATTGTGCAAGTTTTAAAGGTACCGGTATATACATTTAACAACTAAATTATTCATACCCCTCGTAAATTTGATGTTTTTTGTGTTTTTCATAACACAGCAAAGAAAGGTGGAGTGGTTGAATTGGGACCTTTGTTGAATACTTTTAGATGTAAACTTTTAATATGTTACATTCTTTTCTTAAGAACTCCAAACCAGGACAAATCAATATTTCACAAACTTAAAACATTACAAAACTTAGTTAGGGTATGAATAATTTAGTTGTGAACTGTATGTATTTTCTTTTAAATTGATTTGTTATGTGATTAATGGAGAATATATTTTCAATGTTTAGAAGTTAAAACATTCCTACTTAAAGGTACTATGTCCCATTTGCAGGCCAAAAAAAATGAAAAAGTTAAATTCCAACTGCATTTGAAAGATAATACTAATTTAGAACTTCCCTAAAAAAGATGGGGCTTGAAAATGTCTTCAAGTGGGAAAATAACGACTATTTGTTGTCAAATTGACTTTAGGGCTATAGAGCCCAAAAGTAATAGTCTTGATTCTCAGACAATTGTACCGAATGGTCATACGTTTTATGCTGCGCAAAGATTCAATCAGTTTAATCTTGGCCATTACAAGAAGTGGGTTATTGATGTAGACAAATGCTCATGTACCCTTTGCAACTCTTTTCATGTATGTTATTACCAAATAAGGAAAAAAGCCAGTCAGTCACTCAATAGTGTCTGACAGTGAAGTGTAGCAAGTAAACGGGTTTCCTTGCATAATTTAAATATGAGGACACTGCTAACGTTTAGATTTCACACATAGGACATACATGACATATTCATAATTCCTGCAAAGTTCTACAGAATTTGAGGTTGGTTGCAAAAGGGACATAGTACCTCTAAGTGCTGTGTGTTTATCACATAGCTGAGTAATCTTGTACAAACAATAATTTTATGAGAAACTGTTGAAAGTATATTTTATAAAGTGTAGAATAACTATGTACTAATATATGAAAGTTACACACACTTTGAATGGACTTTCGTTTCAATTATGAAGAGAGCCTTAAATTACCCATACATGTTGACATTTGCTATGGAATCCAGTATCTACCAAATAATGTGTCTTGTTTTCTGGAAATTGGAAGACAAACTCATGTAAAATTTGGATGAGAACTGAAATGGATAGGAAGTATGAGTTAGTATTCACTTATTAAGTTATATGTGAGTTTAAGTGTTGAATGTTTAGGATCTGATTCAAATGGACATTATTCTACCTTTACAAAAGTTCACAACTAGTGCCTTAAATCTGTTTTTATACAACAACAAAAAAGATCCTTTTTTTGTGGTGTTTGAGTTAAAAATAATACATGTATTACATGTTCTTGTACTGTAAAAGTTCATAGGTTTGAAATGTTGCTAAAGTGTACCATAAGCATTGGAAATACACAGCATTTGTTTAAAGGTGGTTTGCACTAGTTTGGCTAGGGGGGATAAGACCTCCCTGCAAGATCACTGTCAGGTGGTTATCTCATCAAATCAGATGTCAATTAACATAAGAAAAAGAGGATCATGGGGGACTAACAGGCATCGACTAGGCATTGTTTGCTATATAGAGGGCGCAAGTAGCTCTAAGTGGTGCAGTGGGGCATTAAGGTGGTTTGTGTACAATTTCCCAAAGGTATTTTGTAATTATGAAAATTAAATCTTGAAATCTACCTAATCATACCAGTACTGTATTGTATCATGAATGAAATCAACATTCTCTTTCCAATATTTGAATCAATATTTCCCATTCGCTATCACTGACATACAGTATAAAATAACAATCATTTCTACTTATTGAAAGTTATGTTCTGCGAAGAGTAATCTGCATGTTTTTTTATAGCTTTTGTTGTTTTGATTTGAGTGTGTCAGGGATTGGTCCATGGCTATATCATTACTTCTATTTTTTACTTCATTATTGAAATGCACTTTGTTATCAATAATTATCTTTATATTGAGGCATAGTGGCGTTGGTGATGTTTGGTCATTTGTTTAGATTGTGTAATGATTGTGTTAAGTAGAGACGTATATATAGTAGAAACATTCCGGTAGTGTCATTAATGTGCTCAGTTTGTTGAGCGCCTTCCAAACGGGAATAGCTAATCAGTCGATTTTAGTCAAGAAACATTGTTTTATAGTTTAATTAATATCTTGACCTTGACAACATAAAGAGCGTATTATTTACAATTTCATCACTTTAGACTGTATTTCAACCGCGACAACGATCACTGAATATTGTAGGATCGCATATGCTTCCAATATGTTCATTTGAACCAAATTCATGACCCCATACCAAAACTTTGTATTACCTTTAAGATTGTGAATTGAGCGGTTTTATTATATATAACAGCTTGATCTACAACTAGTCCAATAATCATTATGTCTGCTCATCATTTGGTCCAATTTCCATTTGGTCTATTGTTCATTTGGTCTAATTGCTGGTCGGTCTAATTTCCAGTTTGTATAATGCCCATTTCGTCTGCCATTCATAAGGTCTAATATTCATTTGATTATTTATGATTAAATGATTATTAGACTATATGGATGGTAGACAAAATGAACAATAGACCAAATGACTATGAGCGTAAATGGTCATTAGACCAAATGAGAAGTAGACAAAATGATTATGAGACCATGTGGATGGTCTAGTAGTACTTAATTTATACTGGGAATCTTGCTCAACAAGCCTAGCTTTTCTGAGATTCCCTTTTTTCCCCTCTCAGTTAAATCAAGCAATATAAAATATTTTGTCTCATTCTCAAACTTAAATTCACTCTGTAAACTTATTTTATTTTGTACATACTTATCAGTATTTTGTTACTTGTATAATTCATTTTTTCTATTATATATTGTAATACTACCGGTATATGGTTTATATATGTCATTTTAATTTGTGGATATTTGAGTGGAAATGAATAAAAATCAAAATAAAATCAATCAAATAGTAGACTAATTGGTAGTAGACAAACTTGTTGTAGACCAAACGACAATATACCAATTTAACTTTGTCTCCATACAGTGCCTTTACTATATCTAATCTAATATATGTCATTTTAATTTGTGGATATTTGAGTGGAATCAAATAAAAATCAAATCAAATCAATCAAATAGTAGACCATA